AGCTCAGCCCCTGAGAACTTGCATATTGTAGGCTAAAGATGACGATCCTGATAAGTGGTGGTGCAGGCTTTCTGGGTCAGCGCCTGGCGAGAGCTCTCATTAAAGACCAGGCCGTTGCGCCGGGGCCATCCAATGAGCAATCGGACGGTGGAACCAAGCTTCTCCTTGTAGACATTCTGGAACCGGTGGAACCTATTCCAGGAGCTCAGCATGTGAGGCCACCATATCAGCATTTTAATTTCCATGATTGAATGAGGCGGTTGCACCCACATTGCATGCTCATTTTCTGCCGGGGCTGTTTGAAGTTGTTTCATAAGCTGCTGAGGAGGTCTGCTTTGATCATGCAAGACACGCACGGGCGTTTGAAGTCTCTGTCAGCTAGTCGCTTGCTGCAATGAATGTAAGCTGGGCGGGGTTTAAAAACTTGTCCTCACTTTGTAGGCAGATTTGGCAGGCGACAGGACCACCAAAGCGGGTTTTGAGGGTCAATTGAGTGTTGCGTTCTGGTGGCTTTAGATATGCCAACCTTGCCAAACTATCACAACCGGTTGGCTTAGTCATCGCGTCTCAGCAACTCTTCTTCTTTGGGCATACAGAGACGTCGCTGGGACCAAAGTGGGGCCACTTGCTACTGAGTGTAATGGTTCTCCTCTTATGGGCCCTCCCCAACTTTTAGGCTCCTTGACTGTCAATAAATCACATCGCTTGTCCAGATATCGCTGGGTGTATCCCTGACGAGCCACACAAAGTTGGCGACCAACGTCATGAGTGCTTCTAGAGAAGCCTGTAAACCATAACCTTGACAGATCTGAACATGTTTCAGGCTTTTGTCTAGTTTGATGACCTGCATTTTGTTGCCCAGGTTACAGGGGACATCACGGACCCCTCTTTTCTGGCAAGTGTACTCACGGAAGACGTAACCAGGTATCAATCATCCCAGTTATTGTATGAGACACCTACTGTTTGCCGGGAGGTAGCATGTCTTGGTCTGGTGAAGTTTAATCCATCGACCAATGTTGGCAGCAATTGTCCCCAGTGGTTGCACAAGAGAATGCAGCACTCAGAGTGCGCCCGCCCGAAATAGCCAGCTAACTAGGCAAGTGATGCGACCTACTCATTATGAGTCTGGCCGCTGTCTAGCAGCCCTGGAAACCCTTTCAGTGCGGAATCGAAGAATTGCAGAAGAGGCACTTTTCATTTGTCCAAGAGTTTCACGTTTATTGCAAATGGGCGTCATAATTTCTTTCAAGGTGAATCGGGTCAGTTTGCATAATCAGCAGATCTGAGGTGTTTCAATGAGGATGGATTCTTCTGTGCAGCATCTTTCACCTGGCTGCCATCGTGAGCTCTCATGCAGAGAGTGACTACGACCTGGGGATGAAAGTGAGACACTTTTGGAGTTACCCATTTCAACGCAAAGGTTTGCGAGCCGGTGGCATGCACGAGCTGTTCTGCCACTCTACTCCTGACAAGCTCCTGCTAATCCTACAGTTGTCGTGAGCTCTCTTTCGTAATATACCTTGGCGCCATTTATCAGGCAGTCGTTCAACCCGAGTAGGAGTCTCAGCGTCTGAAGTTTTTGATGCCAGCGCCGGACACCCCTTCCCCCATGCGTTCAGCCCGGACAGACTTGGTGGTCACTAGTTTTGATTGTGTTGCTTCCTTTGCTACATGTTCACGACCCAAGAAGAATGGTCTATAATACCAAGAGCAAGGCGCTTCTCTCATCTTAATGTGACCGTTGCTTGCAGGTCAACTTCGATGCTACGAGAGCGATCGTTGAAAGGGCCCGAGCCTTGAAGACAAGGCCGACGCTCATTTTCACCAGCTCGGTGGCGGTCTTTGGTATACCTCGCCAGGTAAGGGATGCCGTGCAGACCACTTTTCTTACAGGAGCTTCTTAAGTTGTGCTTGGATTCCAGGAACACCTCTCCCCTCCTTCGATAGGTTCCTTTTCTGTTTGCGAGGCTTGCCCTCATCTTGCCATTTTCCTTGAGACTGGATGCCCATGCGAGAGATGCGTAGACAGGAAACTTTCCTTTGGCTCGAGGAAAGGGAGAGCTACATGTCGGTGCTTCTTTCGAAAGCTTGCGTTGCATGTGACGTCTGTGCCTGTGATCTCTCGTGGGTGAGCTTTCTTACGTTTCCAGGTTCACTGATGATCGAAGTCCTCTGGTAGCAGACTACGCATCCGGCAGACAAAGATCCCGTCATGACGAATGATCCACGTGCCCTTCGCAGGAGTTGCACGACGCGAACTCGATACGGAAGCGCCAGCTGTCATTTACGGAGACTACCGCTATCACACCCCAATCTTCCTATGGGGCCGAGGTGAGCTGTCAATTGACCCACGCTTGTCGGCTCTCCACTTCACAGCTTTACGCAGCTTCGCCTGCGGTTGCTCATTTCAGAAAGTAAGCGTTTGAAGCGCCTGGATTAAATATTATCCAGTCGTGGAATGCACATTGTCAGTGGTGAATATTCAAAAAGACGGATATTCTACTGCCTGCGATAATTAGGAGGATAAGAAACACTAATTCATAAGAGCCGGTCAATCATCAAAAGCAATCAGGACGGCCTTGCCTCACGTCTTACAGATACTGATTGAAGTAACCACCCACTAAATCAAAAGCAGCGGACGGGTTGAAAGGCAAAACATCGAAAGTAGAACACTGGTTCACAACCGTCCCGAGTAAGCATCTTCCCACTGTTAAAAGGATGAAGGCCTGCAAGCTATGAAGGCGAATGGTCAAGCCAGTCTGTTTTCTATCCTTACCAACAAATATCTGTCTGCTTTTGTACGTTCGCAGAAAGGCATGGCAGAGTTGTTGGTTGCGGATGCTACTCGGAAGGGCTTCATCGACGGGCGGGCCGTCCGATTGCCCACAGTCGTCGTCCGGCCGGGAAAGTGAGCCCCGCTCTAGTTCGTTGAGCCTGCTGATTGAGCCCTTCTTTCGTATTCAGGTATTTTCTCTGGAGTTTTTACAGATGCGGCTTTGTCAACTAGAGTCCGGGCCCTCCTCTCCATCTCAGAGACCTCCGCTATAACTGATGCGAAAAGAGGTCTTCCCAGCCATCTGAAAGCCCCTCCTAAAGAGTTACTCCTGATCGCGCTTTCCGTTCAGCTGAGAGACAAACGGCACCGAACGCGGCGCTAGTCTTCCACTCTAGAGTAGAAGCAGTTAGAAAGTCCTTCACAGTAGCGGCGTTAAAAAGGGCCAGCCCTTAAGTCGTTGACTTCGCAGATCGAGACGCTGACTGGAAAGGCCACGAAAACTACGTGACTTTTGCAGGCCGAACAAAGCGGCTTCTTCTTTCGCTTCGGGCATCATTCGCGAGCCGCTTCAAGGGCAACCTTCCGTTTGCCCGGTGGATCTCGACACGCCCGTCTGGATACAGGTACGTACCAGAGCCAGAAGGTCCCCAACGGAGACCAAACCCCCCCCAAAGTATCTGACAAGGTGCGATCTCTCTTTGTTGACCTGCCCGGCGTGCTTCTTCCCGTCAGCTTTCACGACTCTGGCATTAGGGGTCCGCTGATGTCAGCGCCCGTAAGACTGGGAATGACGGATTGAGGTCTTAGGATGGATTGTACATAACCAGGTGTAGCCGAGCTCCAGAAATGAAGAGCGGCTGAATTCTTCTACTTACACCTCCCCTTGCGTAAAGGAAGGGCGATAGTCTCAAACACTTCGATTCCGAAGTTTTGTGATTTGATGCAACTGCGTGACTCAGGCTAAGGACACTCTTTTGGAGCCATCCGGACATCGCAGTTGACATTGACACAAGCGTCTCCTCCGGGGACGTCACGATCGCCTCTTGCTGACGTCAGCCAATGAGCTAGGAATCCGATGCTGCCTTTCTGTTGCGCAGTCCCCTCGGAAAGTGGTCGAGAACCTGATACGAGCGCACAAACTACCGGCCGGAACCGGGCCCCTGGTCATAACCTTGCCCGGATTATCGGTGAGTAACCCCTACCCTAACCGCACCTGGTTCATGAAATAAAGGCACTCAAAGGCAGCCGGGTTGGTCGAGACGAAAGCTGGGTTACCTAGCTAAAGGAAGGGCTTAATCATTGCCGTCAATCGCACTACCACTTAACGGGTCACTCTTCTCCTCTTCCTTAGACTCTGTTCTGGTTTTCACGAGCAACAGTTTATTGAGGACAGCCCCTCAGAAACGCGTTTGCTGTCTATAAGTGGCTCCAGAAAATCAGAAAATCCACTTAGGGTCTATTTGACTGACGGGCCAAGGGTGAACTGGTCTTTTCCGACCGAGATTAGATTCTTGTTTGCTTCTCAAATCTGCTGCCGGAAGGAGCGTGTCGTGTCAAAAGGAGCATAAAGCTCCAAAAGAGGTTGCGGCGCCTTCCTCTGTCGAGCGGAAGGGTAGGCCACAACTTCCCACCAGAAAATGAAAGGGAAGCGGATCAAATCAAAGAGAACATTGGAGTACTACGCCGTCATCCAATTCGCCTTTGATCGCGCCCGCAGGTAACGGCAGGAGAGCTGGTTGACGCTATGGTGCGGGCAGGCGGCCGGCGAGAGCTGGTAAGCGATGCCGCTTCCTGATCGCTTATGAGATCGTCGCCAGGACTTACACATAGGAATTTTGAGGATTGCGGTTGTAATCCACGCACCTGACTATATCTGTGCTACATTTGTGCTTTAAGACCAAAAGAAAGGAAGAAGTGGTCAGTGGGCTCCGTGTTTGCTTGAACGGACTCCCAAGCGAGCGATCAAGCAATCATCCGGCAATCCTGCTGCCAAAGAAGCCGAGTCTTTGTTTGATTATTGACTTTGCACCCGTGCTAGGAAAGTCACTAGCTCGCCCGTTTGCTTCTCCGGTAAAAGAGCAACGGCTCTGCAAAGTGCAGAATATGGTGAGAGAGAGAAAATGTGAGCCGGCAGTCTTTGGACCCACTTGTAAGTAGCCCCTTGCCACCCCTTTCCACTTTGCCACGTTAAGTCAAGTCCACCGTGCAACTCTCGTCCGGCTTCTGCTTTGGAACACTCTGTTCTAGTTGGGTTGGCAACCTGCGCCGGAGGGGGTGACGACAGCCTGACGTTTCCGCTGTACTTCTTTCCAGGTCCGGTTGGAAAAGCAGCCAGATATTGAGCGGATCGTAAGTTCCTGGCCCGGTCGGATCGAGACACCGGTGGCTAGCAGCCTGGGCTTCGAGGCAGACCGGTAAGATGAGACACTCTGCGCTCCGCACCCTTTTTCGTAGTTGGCGACTTTTGTCCATCGTTGGTGCGAGCTGTATGGTTCTACCGAATCCAAAAGCCGACGGTTTGAGACCTAGCATGCAAGTGCCGTACGGATGAGCGCACGCTCTCAGGTTGACACTTTGTTGCGGCACTGGAAGGGAGGCACTAATATATCTTCGTCGTAACCTGAGAAAGGCCCATGCGTTTGTCGGCATTATTGTGCAATGAATACCCCATGTTTGGCTTCCCTGCAGGAGTATTGACGACGTTGTACAAGCTTTTGTACAAGACGACTTGAAAATGTCTAGATAGTTACGAAGGGGTGTTGATACTGGGTGTCCGAGAGGGGCGTGCAGCATCGGTTGGCCGGTCATGTGTACCATAGGAGACACTTTCAATTTCGGAGATGAAATGCGGGAATCGATCGAGTGGTCGGATTGCCGTCTGACGCAATGATAATCGGCGGTATGTTTTCGACCAGTCCGTTTGATGCAGCGGGGAGATGATGCCACAATCAGCCGCCATGCTTTTGGTAGTTGCGTCCGCATCGCAATCGGAGGTCTCGATCCACAGGCTTCAAATATGCAGGTATCCCTGCACATTATATGCGGCTATGCAATTGGGCGGCAACTGCTAGATGCAGGCACATCATGCAGGCACGAGGCAGTTTCTTATATTTGATGCATTCATAAGATGATGTGGCACGCACATGCATGCATTCCGATCAACCGCAACTGCGTTTACTTAGCTATCCTGTATATGTACCATGTCGACGGCGAACATTCTGTCCATATATATTTTTGTGCAGACGGCGTACGTTACAGGCTTAATTGTACGGTACCATGCATGCAATCAGCCTGCTGATACTGCCACTATATAATAAGCTCCCCATGGGAATCCCCATTAATCAGTCCGAATTGGACAATCGAGCTCGTGCCACGGTGCACGCGCATTGCATGATCCAATGGCCGGTCCGTTCGCATTTGAGGCATGTACCATGACCGAACTTGGAATACCTCTCAGTTGGATCATGTCATCTTGGTTGCAGGCTCCTTACTGGACCATGTTTTGGGTAAGCACCCTTCGCGAGATCCTTCAATAGAATCAGATTCTATTATTCTATTGCTTGAAAGAACGTGCAATGAAAACGCTTCATGCAAATAGCCTGTTACAATGAGTGTTTTTGGGTGTAGCATGAAACAAACACGGCTCCCGTAAGAAACAAACACGGCTCCCGTAAGAACAGAATATGGAATGACTTGTTTGACAAGCAACAAGTTAGTTCAGCTCACGCGACAGTCATGCTATCCTGTTCAAAAGACTGCTCAATTCTGACCCTTGACCATCTTTGAATTGCATACGCAGACACAACAAACAAGGGCCTGTATCTACTGATAGTAGCCCGGGTAGTAGGGGGCCGGTGGTGCAGCTGCTGGTGCTGCTGCTGGAGCGGGTGCAGGAGGGTAAGCCTGCAGTTCATCAACATCAACGTCAGGAGATGCACAAGCACGCTGAAAGGAATCACACTGAAGAGACGAGCCAGGAACGCCTCGTCACTGGGTAAAATGATGCTTCCAGAAGACCCCAAGCCAGCATCGAGTACGGGAAAAAGAAAAAACACTCTGATGCGAATCTTCCCAGCCATGACAGCGTCTCCATCCGTACGAACAGGTCTCAACAATCACAGCACGGTCGAAATAAGGCTTGACGAAAAGCAAATCCAGCATCAAGGAAGGAGACCTACCGGTTGTTGATAGCTTGGTGGGTAGTATGGTTGCGCCGGTTGCTGAGGCGGGTAGTAGCCCGGATAGGCAGCCGGCTGCTGGTAAGCACTCTGCACAACCGGGTAAGAGACCATCATATTGCGTCCGACAAAAAACATGAAGCGAGCAGATAACCAACTTCGCGGATGCACTGGATCTGCCAATTGGACCAGTCCTATTCACTGGATTCCATGCTGCTCTCTCAGAAGTTTTGTGTTGCCATCACTCACTTCAGCCTGCCTGGCAGATCTTTTGATGGGAGTGGAAGGGCAACTGACTCATCAGAACTCAAAAGTCCAGACAGGTACGACCAATCTAGACTGGTCTCAGCACTCGAAAACCAATGTCAAGCTTGTATACCGCACTTACCGGAGGATAGTACGGCGCTGGGGCGGGTGCCGCAGCAGCCGCCGGCGCTTGGTAAGCCTGATGCGGAGCCTGGTAGCCCTGATAGCCGTAGCCTCCGTTGGCATAGGCTCCGGCGGAAGGGGAGCGCTCGTACGGCTTGTGTTTGCTCGGCTGCGGCGTCGTCTCGGCGGCCCGCTTGCGGGTGTCCGGCGCCACGGGCCGCTTGGGTGGGAAGACTTTGCGGTGCTCCGCTTCTGTCTTGCGGACGGTGGCGATGTCGCCGTACAGGTCAGCAACCTGGGCAGAGACCGGCGTGAGTGAGAGTCAGGAATCGAGCAGTCCGTGCTGTCTGGAACAGATGGAGCGCATCGTATACGAGGTAAGGGTTAGGCGTTAGGAATGATGCAGGTCGCCAGCAACACAGGCGATAACGAATTTGCGAGGACAAGGAGAAGCGATGACCCATTCCGGTTTTGAATGGTAAAAAACGGTCAACTGCTCTCCTTCAAGAGCAGGACAGCAGGAGGCGACCCGCTGCAGAATGCAAGGCAGGAAACACTCGTAGACGTTCAAGTACAAAATTGCAAGAACCGTTGAATTCGCAGAACGCTTTCGCCTCACCTCGATCGAGTAAGCAGACAGCTCCTCCCGGTCGGTAGCAGCCAAGGCTGGCGTTCCGGCCGCTGTCGTTGCCGCCAGAGCCTTCTGAATCAGACCCTGCACCCGGCCCACTCGGTCTTCGCCCGGCAGCAGCGACTCGAGCAGAATGGCCCCCTCCCAGAGCACCTTCGACGTCGAAACTTTCTCTAGGGCGGTGGTGTACACCTCCCGTGCCTTGTCGATCTGATTCAGGGAGTGGTACAGGAACCGGGCGTATTGCAGGGCCAGGAACGGCAGGGTCTTGCTCTCCTCCTTCGCGCTCTCGGCAGCAAACGCGGCCTCGTACACGGCCACGGCCGCGTCGGGCTTGCCCTGCCTGTTCAGGAAGTTGGCGTGCTTGAAGATCGCCTCCAGAAGCGACGGTGCCACGTCCTTTTGCAGCAGCTCGAAGGAGGCCAGCGCCGCATCGGTGTTTCCATAAGACTCCTCAAAGCGCGCGGCGAACAGGTGGATGTCAGGCTTGCGCTTGACAAACGTCCCGGTGGCGCGGTGCAGGATGCTGCGCGCCTGCTCCAGGTCGGCCTTGGACTCCAGAAACTGGACGTAGCGGATCCAGTACTCGGGGTAGTTGGCAGTGGCGATGACGGCGCGCTCGTACGTCTTGAGAGCCTGTAGAGTGTGTCAGAGGTTGTCAGGACGAAGTTGATTGAAAGCAGAGAAATTCTCTAGACGGAGGGCACACAGGAAGAATCACGAATTAAAGTCCCACCTGCCATCCGTCTAAGGTAAGATTCTTCACTTCGAGCAGTTGTCGTCTCTCAGGGCCGTTTTCAGACTGGTCCCTGTACGCGAATGATGTTACTTGAATAGATTCGCTGGCAGGGAATCAAATTTGGCATCCAGGTTTCACAGGTTGTGTGCAGCCGACCAGCCTCACCTTTGGAAGCTCAACCTCCTCCTCAATGAAGTCCAAATACTTGTGCCAATTTGAGATCTGCGACTCGTCCAGTGCCTTCACGTGGAAATAGGGCCTCGTAATCGCCTCCTCGAAGCGCTTGACCTTGTTCTTCTCCTCCTTGCTGACTTTGAACAAGGCCTCTCTGGAAGCGAGGTACTCGGCCTTCATCTCGGCCTCAGTCTTAGCAGGTTCGCTCCCAGGAGCTTCCTCGCCTTCTGGCGGGACCGCCTGAGCAGCCTTCTCGTCAGCCGTCTGGATGTCAGACAGAGGATGCTTCTCGACCAGGTCCTTGAACCTGAGGCAAAGCAAACGGATTCTTGAGGACCATATTCAGGGCTCAACCTGGCCCGCTCAGTCCAGAGCAGAACCGTGTGCAGAATCCGACGAAGTCAGGCAAAAATCTCACAGGCTTGCAGACTGCTTTGCACCCCAAACATGCGAAGGCAACAATCCTGAATGGATGCAGCAATTGAAGAGAGCAGCAAGTCGTCAGATTAGCAGCTTACTTGTCCCAGTAGAATTCCACTTTCCAGATTGGCAGCTGTAGCACTCTTGTGTAGAGCTGTGCTACATTGCTCCACTCTTCCCGGGACGATTCAAACTCAATGTACTTGTCCCAAAGGGGGTGCCCCTTGTAGTCATTCCCCGCGATTGCGAGGGCCCTTTCAAAAAGCCTGCACATTGAGGAAAGTGCATCAGCATGTGGTGGAAGTCTTGTTCACCCTGCAACAGGTTCCATGCTGCAAATACCAACCTACTCATAATTTGATGTGTGCAGAGTGTACACATGCCCAGTCCAGTTTCTCTTCTTGCTGAAAGGACCAGGGCTCAAAAGACAGGTCCATAACTGAGGCAGCAAAAACAGCATGAGTGTTTAGTTGTTGCATTCTAGATGCCTCTCACAACCAAGATTTACCTCTCCTTTGAGCCACATACAATAGGCAGGTTGAGGACCGCTCCTTCCGTGGTCGTGGCAAGGTTCAATCACACTTTGGAAGCAGCAAGATCAGGACAGTAAGCCTGTGCTCAACTCAGCCAAGAATGCACCACAAGATGCTGAGCAGATGGTATCTGATCTGAACAGTTGCCTCACAGAACGACATATGCAGAATGATGCGCTGTCTGCTGCTCAACGGACAAGATAGCTCAAATACGTGAACCCATTTATGTTGCGGCAAGCTTTGCAGATTGTCAGGAGCAAGGGAAACCATACCTTACCCTTGAACGTCTGCAAGAGCGATAAAGTCAGGGCAAATATCCAACTCAGGGCATCAAATGGTGCTTGAGACCCCAGAAGATCTGACGTAACTAACCGTCTCAGCAGCAAGGCAGGTACTCTTGTCACAAGAAGCTAAAGCTCATGCTGACCAGTACTTGCGACCCTTAGACATGCGCTTGAGAACACTGACGACAGAAAGTTAAAAGAGGATTCAGCTGATGCTCACTTGCGAGTCTCATCAGGTTCATGGGACCTCTCCGCCGCAAACGCCATGTAGGCCACCCAGATGTCAACGGAATGGGTCACGGCTTGAACAGCTCTCTCGTACACTTCAAACACTTTGTTCACGTCTCCATGGTGCAGCTCGTGATCCGCATACTTCTTCCAGTAGCCGAAGCACAGGGGAAACTCTGATAGGAAAGTGTCGTAGACATGACGGATCTTCTCAATGTCACCCTGCACGTACAAGCAGCAAAAGTCTTCAGGCAAAGACAGAACAATCAGATATAGCAAGTTCACTTTGATCAAATTTACAGCAGAGATCAGCACTGCCTCACAAGATGCATCCCTAAGTAGCCTGCAAAAAGTGAATTAACTTTGATGAGCCGGAGGAGAGCAAATCAGTTGGTCAAGACATGAAGGAACCTACCAGCCTCTCCGTCTCCGCAATCAGTCCCGAAGGACTTTGTGTCCACGCATTGAAATCGCCAGGGTTTGCAGTGACCGTCTTCCACAGCTGGTCCTCCTTGGTCTCCACCTTCACCGGCGATTTGACTGGCGTGGAAGCTGGTGCAGGAGTAGTTGGCGGCACTGAAGCAGCAGCAGGTGACGCAGGATTCTCAGAAGCTGGCGCCAGAGCATCTGCAAGGGGTCCGTGAAATTAAGTATGGAAGTGAAAGAATATTCCAGATGGTATATGCATTTGCAGATCAAACCAAGATAAGAAAGTCTATAAAGTTTCTAAAACGAATCAATCAAGAAAAAAGTTTCTTCAACTGGACGGGAAAAACCCTGCAGTCACTACCACCATTCCCATCAAGACATCTTCAAAATAGATCCAGGTCAAAATGGACATCATTTGCAACCATCACAGGAACCGCAATATTTGGAACAATTGCGAAGGACAAGATGGAACTTGGAGAGACTTTGTCCATTGCAAAGAGGATAAGACTTGCACTCAAATGCACCTCAGACGACAAGACCGCCAACGAGTATGTCGCACACCTTCTGGTAGAGAGCTGTACTGAACCCCGTCAACAGCCATTGGGGCAGCCTGGCCATCCACAGCTGGCTGATGTTCCACATTTGCATCTCCACCAGCGGGAACCCCCATATCCGCGGTGCCGGCATTCAGATCAAAAGTGGACACAGAAGCGGCCGCCCCGGCAGCGTCTGGTGCAATTTCCATGTTGTCCTCAAGAAGAAAACCACGATGAAAAGAATACGGTACTCTTACGTGCTCCTGAGGACGTCCGAGCGAGCAAGGGGAAGGGGAAGGGAAAAAGAACCAGGATTTGCCGCCTATTAAAACTCGATTCTCGAAGACCTTCAAGTTGAAAACCTTGAAAGACCTTGGATTTGAAGGCAAAGCGCTCTTCGATCTCCCGACAAGCTGCAACGCGAGCTAGACAAGTGCCTGTGTCTAGCAAAGCCGCCTTCTCAACCTGACGGAATTGGAAAGGGGCTCCATCATTTAACCATTGCCATTGGCAGCTGGTAAAGACGCCAAGGAAGACGTTGACGAGAAGGGTAACCCGATTTTGATGTGTAAGTTAGAATCTGGGTTATGAATGCTTGGTGGGTTAAGGAATATATCAGGTTGAGCCGGGAGTCGAGACGCCGGTCAAGTAGGCTGATCGTATGTAAACCCAGAAGCTGACAACAATCTGGAACCCCAAAATTAGACAACCGATTCAAAACCTGAGCAAGATCAGAAAGAGGCTAAACCTGAGCAAGATCAGAAAGAGGCTGCTTTGACGCTGGAGAAGAAAGGCGTCTTTCGGACGGAGGCTGCTGCGAAGGTGTGGCCCTGGGAGCAGGTCTGGGTCTTCGATTGAGCAAGCTTCCTCTTTTGGAAGCTGTAATACTAGATATTAGACAGCAACTTACCAGGGTGCAATTTTGAACTGAGCCTGAGCTGCCATATATTGCCCTGTCAACCACATCCTCCGCCATGGCCGACCAGGTCGAAACCCCTGGTCAGCTGGCCTTAGAAAGCGACCAACATGGGCATGAAGGCAGTCAGTACGGCATGCAACAAAGCATGGCCTTGGTAGCTCAGCAGTACCAGCAGCTAGCCCATCCAGCAGCCCAACCTCAGCTCTCGCATCATGCTGATGTCAGCCAATCGCAAGGGGATGAGCATGGCCCCGCGCTGGGGCAGAATTACTACATGGGGCAGGGGATGGGTACACAGGCAATGGAGAACGTTGCTGTTGTTGCGGGGATTCCTAGCAATGAACCAATGGCATTGCAGGTGTCTGTTCCAGCAAAGTATGTCTGCAGCTGTGGGTGCCTGCAGAAGAGGTATCTGGCTCATCCAGAAGAGCTGGAGGCTTTGGAAGCAGAGGTAATTGCTCTTTTCCTGCATTCTGTTGCTGGCTTAGCAGTTAATCACCTTCAGGCTAGTACCAAATTCTGAGAGCAAAGAGTTTCCTTAGGGTTCTTTGTGTGTGCTTGTTTTACCAAATGAAGTTGGACAAGCGTGCTGGCTAGCCGGGACTGAGTACAATGAAGGTGCACATAGGAAGGTAGTTTCAACTTTCAAGGTCATTGTGGACTCTTGATTGTGACAGTGTCTAGGTGAGCATTTGTCCAAAAACAATCTTTGTGCTTCAGATGGAATCCATCCGAGCTGCGGAGAAGCCGGCTAAGAAGAGGAAGAAAAATGAGAAGATGGCTGAGGGGGAGAGGAAGACTCGGTACGGGCGGGCATTTGAGGTAAGCACACTCAGATTGTATGTAGATCAGTTGCTGTCTTCATTTAAATGGATAAAAATGCTGACTTTGAGTAGGTTCTTTTGCATCTAAACTTTCCAGAGAGACTGCATTGAAGTTAAGCACATTTGGAGGGCCTAACATAAGCTACATTGACCAGTTCCAGCGTGATAGATCTGTCTAATGCAGCTTGAATCTGTCGTGTGATCTCGCCAAGTTTGCTGTATCTTATGTCTCCTCACGGCCCCTGCAGGAATTCGCCCAACAATGGTGCAGAGCAAACATGAAGGTGCTGCGAGGGCCGCTTGCTGATGGGGAGGACGCTCCTTCATACTGCGTCAAAGCAGGTGACTTATTGAGGTCTGGGCTAGCTGGGGCGTAAGGTCTGGCTTTCTCTTTGGTTCGTCAGGCCCAAAGGGCTGATTAGTATCTCCTTGGGAATGCTTGCCTATTCTAGGAAAGGAGGGGGGGCTCGTTGCCAGAGGGGTTCACAGATTGGTGAGATCTCAGAATCTGCTGGTGCTAAAATGTAGCCATAGTGAGTGGAACTTTTTATCTGCAGATATCATCCGCTTACCTTGTTACTCCCTTCTATCTAACAAAAGTCTAGTAAAAGACTCTAGTCTATTGAAGCAGCTTAGCAGGGCTTTCCTAGTCACAATCAAACTCCTACTCCTTCCCAATGGACGCTCTGCAAATTTGCACTGCAGTATAGATCACACCTGCATACGGACCCCACTAATGCACTCCCATGGTTTGCTGCAGCTGTGAACCTCTTAGGTGTGTCCCTGGGTTACTTCTACGCCCGAAGTCGACGTAGTCACAAGGGCCGGCTGGAGGAGTGGTCGGAGACAATGATGAAGAACCACGAGCTGGAGCATCTGCACCCCATGAAGTATGGCAGGATAGCGGACCGGGAGCTCATAGAGGTTAAGGTGAGGGTTTGAAAAACCCCAAAACCCTAAACCCTTGATTTACTGCTCAAATGCATCGGTGCCTTTCAACCGATGGTTGTCAGCTGGCGGCTATCTAGATTCCTGTAGGAGAGGTGATTCGGAGCTCATGAAAGTCCAGGTGCGAGTCAGTAGGGCATGCCCTTAATTAGGGTTCGATGCACTTAACCCCTCGACAAGGGCTTCTGTAAGGTCCGCTTGAGCGGCTTGTGTAGTGTGGCGCCCTCCTGGACTTTTTCGTCTCTGAGTATTGCAGAGCGTAAAGCCAGAGGTGAGCTGTTCTTCAGAAGGACAAAATATTCGGGTTCAGAATCAGAGAATCAAAGCAACAGGACCATGCGAGGAAGAGGTTGCTCTTGACCAGAATACTCTACTCAAATTGTGGTGTCAAAAAGTCACCTTAACTGTAGCGGACGGATGAATCGTCCTTGTATGTCTGAGCAAAGATTGGGGAGGATGAGTCTGCGGAGCCTCTTGTTTCTGGTAAAAAAAACAGATTATGAAGTTCAAAGAATCACTTATAATCAAGTCCGCTTACTCTGGTTTGATGCATCACAGGGATTGAATGCACCGCTTATGAATGCCGCCTTGTTGATTATTGTACGTCACTACCATTCAAGGCCAGTTTACATTCAAATGATCGGCTCTCTTGCCCTCAGTTTCTGGCCACGTGGGACTACTCGTAACAGTCATACTCGCAGTGAATCTGCCTACTATTGGCGCTTCGCTTTTGAATCACCTTCTCGCAGTTATCCGTTTGAAACCTGCTTTGTACTAGGCTTTCTCTCTCTAGAGCCACAAAGACCTCTGCATTTTCCTCCTAAGAATTCTCTTGCAGTCTACTCTCCAAAAGAAGAATGTGTTCTCTAGGCTGCGTGTCAACTTGTTTGAAAAAACTGGGGTGTGAATCTGCACGTCCGTTTCCCATCTCCGTAATGGTCGAAGTTTTGCACACGAAACAAACAGTGGCGTGTGCTGCTTTGCTGGGCCTCGATTCCCCTCTTGGAAGTGTCTGAACAAGAAAGCGGTTACCTTTTTTCTCATCATGCGACAACTAGAGCGGAACTGATAAAAATACTCGATAAAATATCAAATTGCGCTTCTCGTGCAGGATTGCTGCAAGGGCCACCAGCTGCGGTGCATGAAGGGCGACACGGCGTTCAAGACGCAGAGCCTGCTGGACGTCACCTGCTGCTCAGACTCCGCGCGGAATAGCAACATCTGCCGCCTCAAGGAGCTGCTCAAGGAGTCCCCCGGACTGGTGCAGGTGAGACCCCTGGCAGTATTTCAAGGAACGTTCTCCTGAGGAGGAAGAAGGGGAAAAGGCAGAAGGATGCGCGGACTGTGGGGCTCGATCCAGCATATGATCTTGGGGTTGACACGCTGGCTTTGAAACTTTCTCTACTTCAGTAAAAACCAATGAGTCCATGCAATTGCTGCGCCGTTGTTCAGGCTTTGTAACCAGCGTCTCTTTGCAAGACGTCGGCCTGCAGGAATTGTATGCGAGCCGCGCATCGAGAAATACCGAACATGAGGTGCCAGGATTCGAGATAGAGCTTGCGTTGCGGTTTAGATGATGCTCTTTCCTTTTTGCGGGGTGCTCATATTTGTAGAATCTGGTTGTTGACAAGCTTGCGGACGGGTCTTCTTAACTTTTACGCTCCTCTTCTCCCCCTTGTGTTCTTCGAAGTTATTCCAAATCTGTTTGTCTCGAGGTTTTTGGCAGCGTCCAAACTGTTCGAAAGTGTTGTGCTCAAGGTGGCGGTTTGAGGTGGTGTTTCCCTCGCTGTGTAGGACTGGCACGACGACTATCATGTGCGGCACGGCGAGAACGGGAAGACGCGGGACGTACAGAGGGCGATCTTAGCGGAGGTCCTCCACGAGAAGATCTGCCGCAAGGGCATTCGCATGCTGCTGAACTGCCGCGTCAGCAATTCCCGGTTCAAGGAGGTCAAGCTGATTATGAAAGAACACGGGGGCAGCTACAGGATATTCAGAAAATGAAGCATGATGCACACTGACAGCCCGTTACTGTATTCAGAACTTTCAGTATGACGTCGGTCTATTCTTCTGGGTCTTTGAAGCTGCTGAAGTTTTAGGCGATCAAGCAAAGCTTGCCCTCCATGATTGTCACCATAGGAACTGCAGCAGATTCATGCTTCGCAGCAAGGCGAAGCAGGTCAAATTGTATACAATAGGTAATGACAGTCACGGTCGATTATAAAGTGCCATACGCGCTTCGTGTTTGTGAATCGCCATTCGATCCTGCCTAGATCATGCCGTGAGGATCGTGTGCTCCGGCCTGCATGACCGTACAAGTCCATAAGCTGTCGGTATTTCAGGTACGTCAATCAAGGCAGCTAGCTCGATCCTCAACGAGTGACTTTACACCATGACCGTCATGGACGGTGATCACCAACTGCAGTATAGGACTCCATTCCGACACGTCCGGCCGCCATCGTTCCAACATGTGTGTCGCAAACTGCATGTGACACATGCTTATGAGATTAGTCAAAGTGTATTTAAGGACTGAGCACATGTAGACATGTGCAGCCTGGCCGGGCACACGACTGTTTGAAAATCGATCATGCCTAATGATACACGCATAATCGAGAATCACACATAAGTATATTAGGGCATGTGCATTTGGCCATACGAAGTCACTATACTCAGATCCAACATTAATAAAACGTTAAGCTACTGACTCAAAATCACCATGTCATGCATGATAGCTCTCATGCCATGGCCGGCGCATGGAATCATGACATCATGTAACTTAGGTACAATTTTCGAGTAACTATACACGCATGTCGAGCGATCCGATCTCAGTGCTCATGGTGGTATAACCTGCCCGAGGTCGAGTCTTACATTTCGGCCTAGCTGAGTGCATTTGTTCAATGCCGCAAGAGCTGAGCCGCGACCGCTAATCCAAGAAAATGACGACGCAACTGTTTGATTGGTACATTCTTTTGATTTTGCATGTGCTGCGCGCAGCAATTTCACTAAGCTAGGCCAAAAAAGCACGGATTCTCTTTCAGAGGATCTGATCAGGTATCCTGGTCCAAGTCCGTTCATGATGTCTTTGATCTGCTTGTCTTTGAGAAGACGGCCATTTTTGACTCTCTTTTGTCTGATCCAGATCCAGGCTGATCTCTTCATCTTCATCATCGTTTGAGGCAGCAAGCGAAGGGTCTTCCATGTATGCCTGAGGGAAGAGGAGCTTCAATCGGAAAGCATCCACCCCATTGAGATAGTAGCTGTGTAGCCGCTTGGCTCGTATGAACCCCAGGTTTCCGTACAGGGCGAGAGCGCCCGAGTTGGTGACCTCCGCTTCGAGAATCACCTGTGAGCGCCACAAGAACAAGATGAGCACTCCTCAAAAGAAAGATAAGAGCCGTAGGTCCACAGTGAATCAATGATTCTGAAGGACAGACTGTTTTAAGTGGACAGGCGACAGAGTTATCAGAGACCTCAGGAAGCTGAAGCAGCTGTAATGAGAAGCGTCACCGAACCGGACTAGGTGATTTACCAGAACAGAGCGGTCCAAACAGGACAAAACTATGCAACGCAGTGATTTTCTGTCGGGGATTAGAACTGCCGAACTTGGAAGGAGTACGCCCAACTCATCAGCAACTACTCGGCGTGATTACAGCAACTTATCTGACCCACCAGACCATGTCAACGGTTGAAGGTGGAAGCAACGGGGAACACAGTCTTATGAAAAGCGAGGCTTACCTCCTGACACCCCGAGTCCCTCATCACTTCGAGGCTTTTCCTAACAAGGGTGGACCCTGCAGGGTGTCAAGACTGGGGTCAGAAACGAGAGGTTTTCGGATGGAACAAAGAGACCAGCTGGCAAGGCGCCTATTAGGCCAAGAAACGGCGGGACCAGCTATCGGCGCAAAAACGTCGAAACGGTTTTTCTGGCTTCGAAAGGTTGCTACTTTGGATCAGCAGCAAGCAGTTCGCAGAAATGTTAGAATGTCATTGAACTTGTCTGACTTGCGAGAGGAAGGATTGGATTGTGGACGGGTCGGATAAGTGTGGCAACTCCATTAGCTAGTACATGAGGGTTCAAAGACAAGGAGTGTGAATTGCGGCTAAGCCAGGAGCGAGCAGTCACTGTTGTTTGACTGGTGAAAGCGGTATGCAGTAGAGAAAGTTGGCGGAGACTTGTCCTCAGGGCAACAATTAAAATCTGGGGGATGAACTCCCCTTGACGGGAACCTGTCAGCCTTTACGACATTATTTTCATTCCCTGGACCACCCTTGCAAAAGAGGAAAATATGGGAATGATCCATTGCGGAAAGAAGTGCAGTCTCTTTTTCACATCGCAGACTCAAAGCGATGGACATGCTGGCAGACACGAGTGAACGCTTCCGCAAGAGAGTGCAACTAACAAAGGAGGGCTCAAGCTGATCTAGGCCTCTGCCCTTTGTCGGCCCAACTAGAATCGTCTGTCCCTTGTGACTTGGTTTTTGGGCTTCTACTTCCAGGACAATCGTGAGGCTGTGCCACACAGTTGAAGAATGCGTCTGAGCTCACCGATCCCCATTCCTCGGAACGGTTTGATCACCACTAGCATTGCAATGTACCCCCGAAACATCCGTGACTTTGGATGGTCCTCCATCTTACATACGATTGTAGCCACACATTGGCCGCCGCAATACGCCTGATCAAAGAGAGAAGCGGCACTTTTCAGTGGACGGAACAAGGAAACAGACGTACAATCTGTTTGAACAAGGAAACAGTCATACGGTTTGTTTGAACAATGCTCAGGAAGGTGGCCGTGGTAGTCGCCATGAGAGGGCCCGTAAGGTGACTTCAGAGAAAGAGATGAGAGGTCAGTTTTTGGAAGTGCAGGAGGCGGTGGTGCTGTCTGAGGGGCAATAGTAGAAAAGATTGTAAGTCATAGGCTCAGTCAAGACACCAGAAGTGCGGTGAAAAGCCTGACACATGCTTGTCTTCAGAAGAGAGAGATCTTGAGGAACATGAGATTACCAGACGAGATCAGCTTGTAGAAGTTAGCAAGGTGGTGGGTACTGTGAAAGGGGCAATAAGAGTCAGTCTACAGAAAGCGTGTGGGCAGCATAGACAGATTCAGTGGGGATTGTTTGGGGCTGAGATTACCACTAAGGTCAGCTCCGACAAGTGCAAGATGTAGTGGGTCTTGTTTGGAATTGTTTGAGGGGCAAGAGGAGCCAAGATCATAACAGGGGTAGGCAGCATGACAAGTTGATGGTAAGAGGGGAGGACTTTGAGGGGGGTGAGATCACCACCAGAAACTAGCTCACAAAAAGGCAGGAAGCATTCCAGGAACTGAGAGCCTTCGCAATGATGAGACTTGTCAGACTTCCACCGGGATCCAGAAGGAGCCAACACAAAATCAGAATGTGGAAAGGGCACCACTGCACAAGCACCACCACAAGTGAGCGCTACATTGGTGTTAGAAAGGAACATTGCGAGAAAGGTCATGATTGATATCATGTAAATCTAGCACCATCAATATTTAACCAAGCTTTTAGTAAGCGAGCGCCATGCAAGCAGTTCTTACCAGGAAGCACAGCTGGGGCCACTGGTTCAGAAAGTATCTGTACGTGAATATCGAGTAAGGCTCCGACAGTTCTGTGTCTACGAGTCCCATCACAGTGGGCAGATCCTCCTCCCCAAGATACTGCCGGAATTGCACCTCGCTAGCATCCCCGTTGCTGGTGGTCGCTTCCGCTTCTTCCGTAGATGACGCTTCTTTTGTTCGGGCCCCGGTTGTTGGGCCTTCCATGACCCACTGCCTACAGAAGGCTGATGCTTCCTGGACAAAAGCAACTGAACAACATGGAATGCTGACAGAAATGCAGATCCTACACCTGCCACTGGCAAATGTGGAAATGCAAAGCCACCTTGAGAGTGACTCAAGACTGGATTTTGGTTCTCCCCGCAGTAACCGCTCTGCGCTTTGAAATGCAAAGCCCTTCCTCAAGGAGCTGATCCAACTAGACCGAGAGAAGATCCGCGCCCAATCGAGTCTTTCTGTGGCAACGGTTGGCCTTCTTCAGTGTCCAACTCATTACCGTGCCGGACGGTTCAATGCGGCTTCACTGTCCCACACAGCCCACTGCCTGATGTCACCCTTGCCATTGGTCACATTGGTGTCGCGACCTTCAGCTGATCATGCTAGCGCTAGCAGGGCCAGCTAGATCGAGAGTCGAGAGTCGAGACCCGCTTGAAACCACTCATCAACAATCCGAGCAGCCTTCGCACCACCTTTCTTAGAGCTGCACGCTTGCAGATCGATGGCGGATCCGCCTGCTCAACCCAGCAACCAGGCAGAGCTGCTGCAGGATCCAGCCGCGCGCAAAAGTGATGCGCAGTCGGGGCCAGCAGCTCCTCAAAGCGATGCAACGGAGCAGTTTCGGATGCCCAGCCCTGAGGAGATGCAAGCGCAGGACTTCATGAACAATTGCTTTGTGAGGTCGGCCTTTGCGGGCGTTGCAGGTGAGGCGGTGGTGGTGGCGCAAGTGGCATTCAGCGGTTCCGCATTCACTGAGCTCTTGATGCGCACCTGCCGCGAAAAATGGGAAAATGGGAGAAATCACAGCTGACTTTTTAGTCAGAAGTCCTGAATTATGATGTCTGGTTGCTCCGCTTTGTTAGATCCACATTTTGGGGAAGCGTCACTGTGTCTTCTCAGAGAACTGTAATTCTGGCATCACCCTTTCAACGTTTTTCTTAAGTGAATACAGACGCAGCTGGAATAGGCTGCCTGAATTGCAGAGCTTTGTACAGCGAACAGACCCACTTCAATACCGTCAGCTCATTTCACTACCTTCTCAACATAGTGAGACACTTTCGCAGAGAGTGCGTTGATCACATATACCACTGATTGGATAGATCTGCTGATTGTCGGTTCTCTGGCAAAAAGAGCGGCTTGAGATCTGTTGCCGAGTCCCCCTTTTTTCGGGCAAGCTTGCAGACAGGTCTTCAAAAAGCTGAGTCATAAGCTTCTGATGGAGGAGCTTTAGATGTCAGGCGTCGCTTCATACTCCCTTAAGGAGGATGAAGTTCACTCTCTTCCTGGGCTAGGCTTCAAGCTCTGTGTCAGGCTTCCTTTCCCAACCGTTTGGAGACGACAGCTCTCAGCCTCTGAGAAGCTCGAGATTGTAGAAAGCATGCATGTTACTGCGCAAATGATAGATTCCGATGAGATTGGCAAGTGGGAGAACACAAAGCAGGTTGTTCTCTGAGGTGCTTATGCACGAGAAGATTCTTTTCATTGCTCCATGTTTGTGAGATGGGGAAGTCTGGCTTTTCATGGGCCTTGTCCTGGCCTAGTCCAACATTTCTCTCCGGCAGTTTGTTCCTGGCGCCTGTTTGACAAAAGGCAACGCGCACAGCGAACGACTGCGTTCTCAGAAGATTACGTTTCGACTTTTTTCTGACAGGGCAGAAATCGTGGCGGTCCATAAATGTTACTCAGGCCTTTCGCCACCTGCACCAACTTGCACATCGAACAGTTCCCCGAAAACCTCGAACACTTACACAGTTTGAATCGCTCGTTCTTGACCACAGAGTCTGCCCCCCGTCCAAGAACGCTGTCGTCAAATTCTCGAATGCCTTATCCGACTCCGTTTTCAATTCAGCGATTCCCGGCTGCAGGCGGAGGAATGGGGCTGTTTATGGGGCTCCTTTTGGGCAGTTTCAGCGACCCGTTCGTTGACGAGACGGGGTGGACGTCACGACAAAAGCTGATGCACACGCTGCGCCAGATGGGGTCTCGCAGCTACAGCACTGCAAAAGCGTTTGCGGTCATGGGAGCGGTCTTCTCCGGCAGCGAATGTGTCATCGAAAAGGTGGGTGATAGAATCGATCGGCAATAGATCGTTGATTTTTCTCGGGGGGTGTTTCGTTGGGGTTGTGTGTGCTCGTCTGAGGTTTCGAAGGAACATGCTATTGTCAGGCAACCGAAGAAGAGGCTTTTCGGAGATTTCGGAAGGAACACGCTATTGAACACGAAGCTAGGAAAAGTGTTTTTTTCAGTGATCGGCGGTTCTCCTGGCAGCCAAGACGTCACCAAACGGGTGGAGGCAAAAACATGCCGGCTAATCCGATTTGAGCTCCTTGGGTACTCCGTTGTAGAGGTTTATCCTGATTGGGAAAAACGCCCGTTCTTCGAAGGATCCTACTCAAACAACGACTGTGATAGGGAGCCACACCTTGCAAATGCGACAGAAGAGTCGCAAGCGGTGAAGAGGGCTCCATCGTTAGTTCCTTTTCTTAGGCACGACAGCTGTCCCGATCCACGATTGTCGGAAGTCTGCATAAAGTAGCTGCGATTTTCCAAAGCATCCAGACCCAGGATGGCAGTGCCTTTTCCACACCCGTCATTGCATGGATTCTTTGACTGGCCTTGCGTTTCGTGAATTGACATCCTATTCTGCAGGCTCGGGCCAAGCACGATATGTACAACGGAATGCTAGCGGGCTGCTTTACCGGGGGGGTGCTTGCCGCCCAAGGTGAGCTAATCTGCATCTTTCAATACGAAAACATTGATTTCTGGTTTTGGCTGATCAAAAGTCGGGAAGTCCATCTTTGTTCCTTCAGGCAGGAGAGATGCTTCTTGTCAAAAACGCGGTCAATGTGGGTACGGATTTGCTAGCAATCAACCAAGGTCGATCCCGTGTTGGAGCAGAGTGCGGTGGTTAGTTGAAAGATATAAGATGAGAAGCCTAGAAACATTCCAGTGACGCCGCGCTCCCACTGCTTAGATCAACTTGAGTGCTTAGGTGTTCCCATGGGAGCATCCACTTCTACTGCCTACGTGGTTGAGCAGAACAGGATGCTTCGAAGTTTGTCGGCGCCTGCTTTGAGGTTGTGCAGATCAAGTCAGTCAGGCAGCTCGGGGGAGCGATAGCTGATAGCTTACTTCGACTTGTTTGCAGCTGGGCCACAAGCAGCGTGTATAGGATGTGTTGGATTCGCTGCCTTTTCGGTTGTCATAGACAAGTTCTTGGAACGCGACTGATTACATGGTGTCGTTACATAGATTCAATTCCATTGATCCAGATTCGAGACTGGGACCCGATTGTTTTAAAAGCTTTGATATCAATTCTTTCAACTTGTTTTGTGTTTGATACTTCAGGAAATCAGGTGAACTGAAGGGATCGATCGTCAGTTCGTCAAGAATTTTTGAGTGAAAGCCGCAATGGGAATGGTTTATGAGCTGGACGGTCATGTTGCTCTCTTCAGTCAAGCCTTACATAGAAATGGACTGTGGCGGGCCAGTAAACTGCAATTGTAATGTTCGAGCGCTGATCATTACATGCATTCCGACCTCTTGTGCAGTAGAATGTCCGGCACCATTGATGGTCAATTGCCAGCAACTTGCGCACATTCAGTCACGTTCGGTTGAAAGGCCCCACATCATCACCATGACACTCGCAAGCCATGGACTCCACGCATTTTGAGCGAGAGCGATGCGCGCGCCCACACTTAGTTTGTAATAGTGGGAGCAAGTAACGACCTACAACTGCATGCATGCATGCGTGGTGCATGCACCGCATCCTCCACAATCGGGTCATCTCTTATAAGCCTGGGCATATATGCCCTGCCAGGCAGCGGCACAAAATCTTTTCAGCTTTTGATTCTCGTCAGGATCCCATTTAGTCTCTCATAATGCTGCAGGAGCGCATGTAGCGTCTTAACAAATTTTGCCAAACTTACGGAGCATGTGACAACTCTTTCTGACCAGATTTCTACTCGAAGCACAGAGTGCATCAACGTTACACTTTCCCACTTCATGCAAGCAAACGTTGAAGTGATCAATTAATTCTGCTGCAGCATGGCTCCGGCCGGCGCGGCGGAACCGGGCCGCGGCCGCACATGCACCTGGGCGGCTCGACCGGACTGGCGCGATGATCCAAAACCCTCACCGACGAAGTTTCTTGTTGGGCAATCCCGAACGAACTGAAATTTTATCGACCGCCCACCGCTCCTCATCGACCTCATCGGACGGTTTTCGTGAAAAAGTGGGCATGTGATGATGACCAGGCCGGAGATTGGTGATCAGGCCAGCAAATCATGACAAAAGTTTAAAGAAGTACAGAAGGTTCAATTGTCGCCAAGGTTGCATTATGATTTGCGTGGTGAGCTCGGAGCTTGTAATGAAGCTAGCAAAAGCTGGCAACAAGCGGCAAATGCTCAGGGGACTTGTCACATGAATCTTGAAAAGGTCCGCTGATGCGGGGAGTTCTTTGGCAGCCAAATGCTCCACTGATGAGCCCAAGGGATTGAAATCCCCACATATATAGCTGGAGTTTATCCCGTAGCTGCACCAAGGGATGGCTTCTCAACTATCCCCGCTTTACTTTGCTCTTGTACTTCTATTTAACTTGTACATTACTGAGACTGATGGTGAAATGGTCATGGAGGTCCCTTCTGCGCCTGTTATCACCTCAATTGTTCCAACAATTGGTAGTGTGTCGGGTGGTACACTTCTGTACATCTATGGGTCTGGCTTCTCAGCTGACCAGTACATGGGGGGCAACGCGGTCTTCATAGAAGATACGCCATGCGATGTCATCTCCTATTACTCCAACACACAGCAGGTAAGGGGAGCGAGTCTTGTTGTGGTGGCTTGATAAACTACAATTGGATAGTCACAGGTGGTCTGAGCTGGTTGTGCGTTTATACCACCTCTGTCTTAGGAAAATTGCTGGGAGCTCATAGAATTCAGTGCTTTACCAGGGATTTATCGTGCAAGGTCACTTAACTACAAGGAATCTCTTTTACATCGGCTTTCAAGCCAATTGCAGTTTGACAGGGTCATCTTATGCGGGATCGTAGATTACCAGGGCCAGCAATGATTTGACGTAAGACGGCGCACGGTTGGGGGCTTTTGTAAGGCAGATCTCTATCTTAAGGGCTCTCCGCGCTAGATTGCACCATCATAAGGCAACTGTTTCCACCACCACTTGGTTAACTTGCCCACCCGGATGCCCCCCTGTGAGGAACCTTTGCACTTCTTTTGAAACCTTGACTTCCGCCCTCAACTTGGGTAGATGTCAGCGACAACTTACTCCTGCATATTCCCCTGTTTTTGAATCCTGGATGGTTCAATCGCAAGAATGACCTGCTGTAGGAGTCAAAACCTGTTTGGTGAGATACAGCTGCATGAGGTGTGGCTTACAGTACTGACAGCTGTTAAGATATTCAGCACAGCGAATACTTTGAAGTACAGTTGCACTGGCATAGTGTATCTGAGTAAGGTCTGGCTCAAAAGGTCCCTGCTAGTTTGGGTGTCAGGGGCCAATTTCAAGCACCAGTGTCATTACTTATCAATGAGTGTATGTAAAGGTGGCAGAAAGAACATCCAGGGCAATGCCAAGGTGGCCTGTGGTGTCTTTTGGGCGCCAGTTGGTTTGACACCAAACGCTTTTAGGTTGGCGCCTCCACATACCTGTTCAGTTCCCTCTTCCAGCTGGATGTACCGGGGAATACTCTGCCTCTTTGAAAATATATTCCTGTGCTTTCCTTGAAATGAATGAAGAACGATATGCAACACCTTCGAGGACTATCGTAGCCACAGTAAAGACCAAGGGAGAGACCAGGGGACCAAAGTAACCTGATTGAAAAAAATCAGCCCACCAGTTTCTCCGCAATGCAGGCAGTCTGCAAGCAAGTAAACCAAGTCATCGTACGCATGACTGAGACACAGAACCATGTTACAAAAGCGGACCCTCAAATTCCGCATCAATGAGAGCCCACCAGATTATACTCCATTCATCCGCTGGCGACAAGCCGCCCCAACCGCGCATCTAAGGTCCGCAGACCAACACGCATTACTAGCTTTTCGAAAGCCCAAAAATCGCCCCTAAATCACGAGATTTGTTTCTCCAGGTCGTCTGCCGCACGCGCGCCCAAGTACCCATCAGCGCGCCCTCTCCAGTGACCATCATTGTGGACGGACTCCCGGCCAGAAGCACCACTTTCTGCTGCTTCCAGTACAGACCGGAGGCCACCCCGGTTGTTTCTGAGGTGTCCCCGGTTGCTGGGCCGGTGGGCACGCGGCTAACGCTGTCAGGGACCTATTTTAGCGCCTTGGTGGATGAGTTTGAGAAGATCACGGTAGGGGACTCGCTGTGCAGCATGGATACGGCGAATGCGGACAGGTGAGGGGATGGTGCTTTCCCCTTTACTACTGTTCAGCGACTCGCAGTTGAGTTTGAGAAGATCATGGCAAGGTTTTGGGGTTTTAGAGTTTTAGGGTTTTAGGGGGACTCGCTGTGCAGCATTGATACGGCGAATGCGGACAGGTGAGGAAACGGTGCTTGCCCTGTCGTCAAAAAAGAACTGCTTCTGTTCCTCTCAACTCTCAGCTCAGTCTTTTACTGCATTCGAACACGGATCGAGTGAGACATCTCCCAGGACTCATTCTGAGCACCCTCTGCCTGATCAAGGCATATCGAGCTGATCCGCACAATCAATTGACAAGAGCGCCTTGCGTTCACTTTGGGGGATTGCTTAGTGCCCTTCGGCAAATGATACCGCTTCTCCATAATGAACCTGCTAGTGTTTGATGTCATCTAGACTAGTCTAGACTAGTTTTAGTCGGCAACAGACTGACTGAAATAGACTTATTTTCTCACTAAAACCGGCAGGGTGCTCAAAAACTACTTTAGCACTTTGGAGCTACATTTGTACCGTTTGGATTGGATTGTCTGAAACGCTAAGCGGGTGGCCACCCTTTATAGCCAGCCCCCACTATCAGCTTGAAAGGAGCCGTTTGAAGTGATTTCAAGTAGGAGGTACGATACTCTTTACTGCTTTGAGATGTACCCTTTTACCATGTGGACGCATTGAACCATCTGATTGGCACAAAAATCTGGAAGGTGTTTTGAAGCTTTTCGGTCGATGCAAACGCTATACTATCCTTGCAGTTTCGGCCCCTACCAGGTTAGCTGCTCCCTCGCTCCGTTTAGCCAGCCGGCCGCGTCGCAAAATGTGACGCTCTCGATTCTACGCCCGGGGTGGATCAACGGCTACGCCAAGCCGGACCGTCAGACGTACTACGTGGACCCGCTCGAACGTCCGTACAACTTCCAGGTGACGATTTGTGTATGGGAATTTTTCAGAGAGATTATTTTTTTTCGGTAAAGTTTCAAATGATGGTTCTAAGTGAGGGAAGCTGCCCCTACAGTTCATATCTGGAGGAAGAGAGACGTCCGCGTTGCCAAGCACATGAAAAGAGGGATCCTCCGTTTTGGAGAGTACGCCAACCGCATGTGCAATCTGCGAACGCCGTATTCGGTCAACAATCTGTCATCTCTTCGTGCCGCTTCTGACGCCATCTGCTGCTTAGACGAGGTCGTTCCACCCCGCATAGAACTTTCCGCTACTCGCTCGCAAGCACGCTCGTTTTGATACGCCCTACTTTCTCCAGGCCCCTCTCAATCAAAGCACTCCCTTTCCTTACGCAGCTTCACCCAGACGTTTTGTCCGTCACTCCGTCGTCTGGGGGCCTTGCCGGAGGGGTTAACGTAACCATCACCGGAACCGGTTTCAGCCTCGACCCGTCTCTCAACAAAGTAATTGTGGGGGGGACCGCATGCGTCGTACAAACGAGGTTAGTAGCGCTCAACCCGCGTTCGATCATATGCGGCAGCTCACGAAGGATCCTCGGGCCTTTAAAGCTGTGCAGACTTTGCTCCGACCAAGCACCTGTAGTGAAGACGGACAGGCTTTCGTACCGAGCTGCTATGTTTGACGTGAAGGAATCATGTGCATCGCTCATACGTGGTTCAAGTTGCTCTCCGACTGATGCTGACCGTTGTCAACCACTTTTCGACGCAGTTCAAGCACGGAGATCGTCTGCTTAACGGGGCCATCGAAGGCTGCGCCGGCATTCCAGAGCGGGTGAGCTTTGGCAAGAAAGCGAACGCGTTGCAATAGTCGCAGCGATAATGAACGGGTTGCAGCAATGCGTTTCAGAAGGAACTGATGGGAACGCGTCATTGGAGGACAGTTCACTTTAGACTCAGCCGTCGAGTAGACAAAACCAGCACATGAGTCGTTGATTCTCTTTCAGTAAGTCATTGCTCGGTTTAAATCGGCACCGATCCGAAGTGCTGCGCTGTCCGGAAGCCTTGGCCTGGGTGTGAAATGAGGCGGCATGAAGGCTCACCATACAGGTTCGTTTACATCACGGATGAAACATCACTTTTCCCGAATCCTTGAACTTTTCTTAGACTGGTGCTTGCTGACGTCACTTTTTCCATGCCCCAGTCAGCTGTTCCCCGGTGCGCGCGGCGCGGTCTGGGAGTACTGGCTCGGTGTGAATAAGACCCAGGCCGGGATGAACGCGCTCACCCAGAAGCCTGCTTACGTCAGCGGGATCCCCGACGGCGACCAGCTGATGACGGGGCTCATGGAGGCGCCCACCACGCAGATGGGAAATTACGGCCAGAGGTGAGGGGAACGGAAACAGACACGGAAAGCGGAAAGCGGAAAGCGGAAAGCGGAAAGCGGAAACGGAAAGAATCCGGAATTGGACGAATAGGCGCAAGGAGGTGCTTAGTAACCTCAATCCTCTGATGCACGTCCAAACGAGAAGACGCGTTAAAATCGATTGGGTTGCCGAGGGCAGGACAATCCAAATGAAACAATCAGCCCCGAAAGTGGTCAATCCTCTAATCTTTGAAATTTGACTGTGGCCCCCAGCTGTGTTAGACGACTCTTGCGGTCAATCAAAGAATCTTGAACATCGAAACGCCACGTCAATTATTCTTCACACGCATGCGTTGCACTTCAGTGAGCACATTCCGTTGCCATTTCGAAGTTGCTCGCTGACTGCCGTTGTGCAGGCTTCGAGCATTCTTCCTTCCGCCGCGGTCCACGTACTACCAGTTCTACTTCGCTTCGGACGTCCTGGGCGAGCTCTGGCTCAGCACTGCGGACGGCAACGCGTCCGCCGTGACAAAGGTCCGCAGTCGCTTTTGAACAGCGTTTTTTTTGTAGTACTTCAGTTTCCAACCTGGGTGATGGATGTTTTCCTTCGCTCCCTTCGATTGTCTCTGCTTAAATTTCTGTGACAATGAGTTGAAAGCTTTAACTCCGAGCGGTATCCTCAGTTGCTGATTGGCAATGTAAGTGACGTCGTTCAGATTTATAAGTCTTGCTACCTTAGAAACATTGACTATGCAAGCTCCGTGCCTCAGATCTTTGATCTCTGCGCATGCTTGCTCTTTAGGCGCGCTTTACCCCCGAACCATGTCAAACCCGACCAATTTTGCCCTCGAAGTTGACCGTCAGACGCTTGCTTGAAGTTCTCCCATTCTGTCGATTCACTCTTCCAACCGCCTACTGCCCATATCGGCCTTCTATACCTGCTATCCTTTTGGATCTTTCTTTAGACCCCTAAATCCCAAATGAAAGCCCAAAAATCTACATAAAAACCTCTTCCCCAGATTGCCTCCCTCTCCTATCCCACCAACCGCCGCAACTGGGGCGGCCCCGTCATGGCGCCCGTCTTTCTGAACGCGAGCGCGCGCTACTTTCTGGAGGCGCGCGGCATCGCGGGCGCGTCTGCAAACAGCCTGTCCGTCGGCGTCCGCGTCTCAAGCGACCGGCCACGGCCCGGCAGGTAAAGAGATTTGGTTGGGATACTTAACCACACCTTAACCACCGGTGGAAGGACACCTAACAAACCGCGGCCCGCCAGGAAAACACAGGATCATTTTGTTTTTGACCACTGGTGGTTAAGGATACCTATCCGGACCTTAACCACTGGTAGAAGGGCACCTGGGTTTGGTGACTGGCTATCCCCTTCCCCATCGAGGATCTTGGCAGCAGACGCCAGTTGCGGGTCGGTCTAACTCGAGAATCAGTATAAATATACGGAGGACTCAAGTTGAAAAGACGGTTGAAACTTTGGATTCAGAGGAACTCCGGTGCATCGAACATCCCTGGGACGACTTCCGTTTAAAGTGGGAAGTTTCAGTGAAAGAGCGAGGCCTGTTTGCTCCTATTTTGGAGCGCTTGCAAAGAATCGCTTTCGACTGCTGAGGGTTTCTCCCAGAGTTGATAGGAAGCGCACGAACGATGAATGATCCTCATGTGATTTGACTATCTCTGGTTGGCAAAGATAAGACGGGGCTGCTTATGACGTGGAAAATAAACGCAGCTGCTTATGAAGCTTGTTGCCCTTCGCAGCATTTTGGAAATACAGCACATCTACACGTCAGTCCAGCAATACGGCGAGATCCAGACGCTCAGGTAAGCGTTCGTCGACACTTTTTGAGAGCTTGATGCAAGGAAAGTTTTTCGAGACCCCATATCGAGGAAGCAAGTTCCGATTGCAAGTTTCAGATGAATTATATTTGCGACAAGCACAGACATCAAACACAGATGAGAGTTCTAATGCTTAGATACAGATGAAAGACCCCTTTGCTCGACCACTTAGCGGACCGAAGCAATCCATCTGGATTTAAGATTTCGAACGGACTCGATGTATTCCAAGACGGTTCGTTCCTTGCTGCAATCCAACTCTGCAGACGTTCAGAGAAAGGCAATCTTCATGCTGGTCCCACCTTTCTTTAGATGTGTGTTTGGTGAAATTTGTCAGAAGTTGAGTACTTTGTTGAAGTGTTACTCTCCTTTGCAGCCTTTCCTCCTTACCCCCGGTCGCGGAGACCCAGTCCATCGCTCTCAGCAACAAACTCTCCCTCCTACTAAACGCCTCCGCCCTGGGTTACGCCCCTGACACCGTCGGGTTTACGCTAACCCTCAAAGCCTCCCAAACCCCGGCGCTCGCGCTCGATGCGACCGCGGCCGAGGTCGGCACCGCGCTCGAGGCGCTGCCAGGTGTCAACTCGTCCGTGAACGTGACCGTACGGCACGATCCGTACGGGGCCGTCCGCACTTGGGACGTAACGTTTGCGGGCATGCCTGGCGTGGCCGTTACGCCGCTGGCCGTCACAATCGTGCTCGGGGCGTCTTTCGCCGGGCGGTCCCCGAGTGATGACGACGGCAACTTTTACGGCATAGAATACGGCGATCTGTTCGCGGGCGCCAGCGAGGCGGCCGGGTTCCGGAGCGCGCGCGCGACGGACGAGCTGGGGTTTGCAGGTTTAAGCAGCCTGCAGTACGCCGATCTGGATCGCACGGGCGGCTTTGGATTTGAGGCCCTCGAGCAAGACCCGGCTGACCTGTTCCGGTTAGCAGGGTTCAGCGAGGGTTTGGAAGGGGGTTTAGGGGTTTCGGACGTTCGAGCCGAAGTGCGGCCGCGACGATTGGCCGACGCAACGCCCTTCCTGAGCGCCGCGGGCTACTTCACGGTTAGCGAGAAGGTTAAGGGGAAGGGCACGCTCGGCGGCTTCTTCACACTCTCAATGAATGGGTCGGACGTTACCAGCAAGTTCCTGAGTGTAAATGCGTCCGTGTCGGACATCCAAGCGGCGATCATCGCGTCCGCACAACCAGTTCTAGGAAAAGCCAGCGCTTCAATCACCGTAACCCGGTCCTTAACCACGGCTTTATCCACCCAGTGGAACGTCAGTTTTCCGTTCCAAACCTCTCCAGTTCCGCTGCTAACTGTCGACTCAACCTACCTCTCCGGGAACGGCGCTTCCGGCGGAGCGTTCCGCTCGAGGCCCGGTTCCGGCCCGCTGGGCGGGGCGTTCGGCGTCGGCTTCGGAAACGGCACCGTTACCACCTTCCGAGCGTTACCGGTTATTTCCGACGGCGTCCAAGCCCGGGAGATCCTCGAAAGCTTGCCGGCAATCAAACCGGGCGACGTCGACGTTTCCGTGGATTGGTCACCTAACGCCTACTATGGCTACGGCTGGCGCATTACGTTCCAAGGAAACCTCGCGGGTCAGCAGCCGTTGTTAGTGGTTAACTCGAGCCGGTTAACGGGCCCCGGGGCGAGTGCCCGGGTGGTCGAGGAGCAGCAGGGGTCGTTCGACCAGTGGATGAGGCCGATCCCCGGGGACTACCTCCGGGAGCCCGTTCCGGTTCCGCAGAGCGTGTCCGTTTCCGTTGACGGCATCATCGGAAGCTGCAGGTAAGCGCTTGCCTAAGTCTTCGTCAAAGTAGTAAACGCTGGAAAGGACGATGCCTTGTAGACGTCTTTGTAAGGATTATTGGAGCGCTCTCGAGTCACCAGGGCTGATGGAGGGCCTCAAGAGTGCGTCAAGACCGATCCCGCTTCCATTACTTCGCGCTTTTTCTGCTGATCCTCACAACTCACTAACTCCTGTGCCCAAGAACCTCCCAAGAAGGGTGATAGGAGCAGGCCGATGCCTAGACTTTTGAATATCCATGTTTGGCCCGGACATCTATCACGAACTCAGTGCTCGAAGAGTTTTCCTTTTCGTCTTCAGCGCTTGCATTCTTCAATTCTCCCGGCGTGCTAAAATCGCCCTGATTTAGCTTGAAATAGATCCGCGAAGTTACCAATCCAAAAAAGAGTCGAGCCAGTGGTACGAAAAGCAAAGGGTAAGCTTCTAGAATCTACAACGATCTTAGCGTCCGCAAATCTTGCGGTTCCTCCGATCCGGAAACACTCTATGGACTTTCTGAAACTTCGTGGTTCATCCGTTTCCATCATCTTTTCACACGTTTTGCTGACCATTTTCGCGCTCCGCAGCGACCCCGCCTACTGCGCCTTCACCTACTCGGTCGCCCTCACGCCCAACATCTCGTCCGTCTCTCCAACTAACGGCACAATCGGCGATACAATTACCATAAGCGGGCAGGGCTTCTCTCCGCTCCCGTCAAACAACACGGTTCTCGTTGGGGGAGTGCGCGCGCAAGTTACTTCCAGTTCGGGGGCTCAGATCCAGGCCAAGTTAGCCCCCGGCGGCGCTGCAGGCTGGACACGCGTCGTCGTGATAGTGGACGGGAAGGGGTACGCAGCGGATTCCGCTGCCGGCGTGTCAACGTTCCGGCTCCGGATTCTGCAGCTCGCCAGCTTCTGGCCGCCCACGGTTTCGACTCAGGGGGGCACCCTCGTAACTCTCACCGGGTCTGGCTTCGACCCCCTAAATGTGACCAGGAACGCTGTCACCATTTGCGGTGCCACGTGTCCCCTGGTTAACGTAACCACGTCGTCCCAAACCCTGACCTGCGTCGCGCCAAGGGCAGCCGCGGGCCAGTGCAGCGTTCTTGTCTCGGTGGACCTGGGTTCCGGCCAAACGGATTCCGTCTCCCTGAGCGGAATGACGTACGTAAGCACCGGCGTCCCTAGCGTAGAATCAGTGAACCCAGCACGGATTGCCGCCACCGGCGGCGGACTGATTCTTATCCAGGGTCAAGACTTGGCAGGATCGGTAGTAACGCTGAGAGACTTGGCTTTCGGCAGAGTGGCGGACTGCGGAATTGTCAGCGCGAACGGAACGCAGGTGACGTGTAAGGCGCAGGGTGCAGCGGCAGGGGCGTACCGAGTGCTTGTGACGTCAGCGGGAAACGTGACGGCGATCTCGGGCAGTACCGTAGAGGTGGCTCTTGGTAAGTTTCGCAGATCACAAGCCGATTAAGTCAGAGCGATTCTGAATTTCCGAAGGTTCTTGAGCAGTGGTTAAAGTGGGCTTGAAGTCAATAGCAATCTGAGACGGTTGCGCGTTTGACAAGCTATCTGGCGCTTGGAGTCGTCGAAACAGCAGGCCTCTCGGAGTAGTTTGCCTTTTCCATCAATGCCTGCAGTTTCCGAACAGATCTCAGGTTTACGAGGATTGCTGGCAATGCGCCAACTTGCCGCCTCTGTGCATTCATCATCCTAACTGTCTGCACGAGCCCGAAACACGACAAACTGCCACCTAAATCAGTGACTGAGAACACGTTGTAGAACCGCTCTCCAAACCTATCATAGTGCCGCAACATCCATAGCGTCCTGCATTTCCGCCTGCAGAGATCACCAGCGTCATTCCGTCCGCCGGAACCCTGGCCGGCGGTTCCGTCCTCACCATCACCGGATTCGGCTTCCCGGTCACCAACGTCAGCACTTCCGTCACGGTCGTCACAATCCAAGTCCCCTTCAGCACTACCTTCCCGAACGGCGTCATTCTGTGTGACGTGGCGACCTCTGATTTGACGCAAGTCACGTGCGTGACGAGGGCGCACTGCGCCGCGGACGCGAACGCGGACGACCCGACCGGAACGGACTGTAACTTTAGGGAGAGCTTGCGGGGCAGCGTTACGGTCAGCGTGTGTCCGGAGGGAGCGGATGCGGACACGTGCTGGGCGGACGTCCGGACGCCGCAGAGCATTTGCAAGCAAGGAGGAAACTGCACCTTCTCTTATTCGGCAGGTGAGGCGATTTGCTGACATTATTGGTGTATATTTGAAACCCGATATTAGCGAATCGGCGAGCTGCCTCAAATGTCGGTCGAATGTCTTGTTCGTCAAGGACCAAACCTGGGCAGTTTGACGATGCCAAAGAACGACTGCAGGGTTTGACGCACACATAGCATGCAGTGCGCTGCGAGAGGCTTCTTTGGTGCGGGTCGTTCGAGGGCGGCTGGAGATTTTACAGGCAGCACCCTCAATCGGAATCTGTTGAAGATCGAAAACAATACGATTGTGAAGTCACGAGACGTGGGTTTGGTCCCGTGAGCTTCTGGAGAAGGACTGCAAAGAAGATGCTTTGAAGCTTTCAACGGCAGGGCTTGGAGAAGGGGCTATATCGAGAAACATAGTTGAGCAAGGTGTCCAAAAAGTGGTTTTACAAGAACTTGCCTTTCACTTTGGGCTTCCCAGACCGGAGTTCTCGGTGGGACGACGTTTAGATTTTGTGCTCTACCGTTGCGGGTCACAAAGGCTGCCATGCCTTTCTTTGCGTTAGATGACTCTTATGGAGCGACCGTCTGAGAAGAGTTCGTGTCTGGCCCGTATGAATCCGTCAAGCTCATCAAAGTTTCAGAACACCAATGCAGAATACGTCAAGTTTTTGGTGTCAATAATTTTTGCCGGAAGGCCTGAGCATGTCCGGAATAATTCCTGCAGGGCTCTGCGTCTTGCCCTTGATTTTATATTCCACTATTTTCTTAGACCCCTCTTCCCTTGCAGCCGAGTCTCCTGTGATCACGCGCGTCTTTCCCCGCACCGGAACGATTTCCGGCAGCATCACTGTCACCGGAACCGGAATCACCAACGACACAACGGTCGCCGTCGGAGGCCTTGTTTGCAACACGACCACGGTCTCTTACGTCGATTCCAACGGCTACCCGAGCGCCAGCCCCGACCCACAAGGCCTCGTTTTCATCACCTGCCGAGTGCCCGGTTTGCCAGTCGGTAAATATCCGGTGTCAGCAAAGGTCCCCGGAATCGGATTCGCAGTGGGGATGTTCACTTACACTTACGCGGCGAACGTTTCCGCGGCCGGGCCGCTTTCCGGGTCGCTCGAAGGCGGCCAGGTGCTAACCCTCCAAGGAATCGGGTTTAACGACACTAACCCGGAGGAAAATCGGGTGTTCCTGGGGCCGTTATCGTGCGCGGTCACAACCGTCACCGCGTCCGAAATCCAGTGCGTCGCGCCGCAAATGCTCGGGCTCGTCGCGCAGTATTTCTACTACGGCGTCCCCATGGGCCAGGGTGTGCCCAGTCTAGTTTCTCGGACGCCGGACGTTGTCCGAACGGAAAGCGTCATAAGCTATGCGGGCGGGTATGCGGCCTGGCCGGGCCTCGACTTGCGCTTCGCGATGCGCTTCGCCGCGAGGTTTGCGGGGTTCATCGCCGTGCCGACGACCGGCAACTATACGGTGAGTACTGCGAAGGTTGGAGCTTGGTGAATGGCTCATATACCCCTCATATATAAGAGACAGGTCAAGAGAACGGCTGAGATTGCTTCGCGTGTCTGATTGCCAAAATGAGAGCACTTCATTTCGGCGAATCGCTGACGGTCGTTCCGGATCTTGTATTCAGCTCGACTGGCGAGCTTTGAAGTACGAAGCTTGAATCACTTCTGGGTTTCTGCATATACCAAGGCGAGAGCCCGAAGATCTGGAAGTACGAAGCTTACATCGCTTCTGGGTTTCCGCAAAAACTAGTGCGAGGATCCGAAGTGCTTGAACTTGGAATGCCGGAAGCAGATTTGCGGACGTGCAAAAGTAGCAAGAAGAGCCCGCCGAGAAAGATGGGCACCTGCAAAGGGCTCTGCAATGTCAGCAGAAGCGCCGACAGTTTCGTCTGAGCGTGTCTCACCAGGCTAAGAAACGAGACCTGCTTCCGCGGCCTTTCAAATGGCTTTCTCTTGCTGACGCCATGCCTCAACGTCTGCTGCAGTTCTTCCTGACGTCAGACGACGGGTCGCTGCTCTACCTAAACGAGGTCCTGGTTGTGAACAACGACTTCAACCACGGAATGCTAGAGGTTCCCGGCTCCGCGTATCTTTACGCTGGGGACTACGTACCTTTTAGAGTGGACTACTTCCAGGGCGACGGCGGACTGGGTCTAGAATTGAGGTGGCAGGGCCCCGGGATAAGCAAGCAGATCGTTCCGGCGTCCGCTTACGTCATCGGTGAGGGAAACGGAACCAAGGTTCCGTGGGTTTTGGTTGCTCGAGGCCTTTGTAATCTCAGATGGGAACGATGAAGTTATCTAACTGTAGCTGCCTAACATAAGACGAGATTCCGCTGAACGGAGGCCCGCTTTTGTAATGTGCTCTCGCTCATACCTTTGTGCAGCACGATGCGAGCAAGAAACCAATCGCAAAGGGTCAAGTCGCATTTATCACATGAGACTTTGGGAAGACTCTATTAAATGCTCAAGATTGTGCCCCGCTGACTCCACTGCAGATCTCGTACAATCTGACGGCCGTTTTATTTCTTAGAAGTCTCATCTTTGTATTCTGAATTCCGTTTTCCGTTGTTTGTCCTTCAGTTCCACCAGAAACTCCTGTCGGCATCGAAGTCCAAGTAAACGGCTTGCCGGCGACTGTAAACGGATACTCCTTCACTTACTCTGCGGGTAAGGGAATGATTCTAATCTTTAGTGCGCCTCGATCTCAAATCTCAGTAGTTCGTGCGATTCCTAGTTTTGAGTTGGCCGCTCTCCCATCCCGCTTATCGGCAGCCTCGTGAATGTAGGTGCACCGCAACAACCGTGCTTCTCCCTACGCTAGTTGGCGGCTCATTCAAATGAACAGTCTGCTCTTCGACGCTGCAGTAAAGTTGATCTCCTCTTTTATTGTTCGAGCTTACTTTTATTGGAAAGACATGTCAGTTGCTGGACCCCCTTCTTTGTCTCCTTATGAGGTCTTCCATCGCAGACTGAAAGCAGACTCGTGCGTTCTTACTACAGAGTTTCAAGTCACTTCCGATGGACCCAACGAGGCTCCGAACCTTGAATTCTTCACTTTTCTGTGCAGCTGCAACGCCCCTGGTGACGTCAGTCTCCCCCGTTAACCTAAACGGGTCAGCCAACATAACCCTAACCGGGCAGAACCTGCAGAACGCCAACGCTTTCGCCAACGTCACCGTTCTGATCGGGGGCCCTAAGAGCTTAGCGCAGGCCACGTGTCAAATCCTCGCATGGAATACGTCAGCAATCACGTGCACCGCCCCGGTTCTCCCGGCCGGGTCCTATCCGATCCAGGTTAACGTTGACGGGATGGGTTACGCTTCTGGTTTACGCGGACTGACTCTGAGCTACGCTCTGGCAGTGACGTCAGTCAGCCCGGCGAACGGTTCGGTGTACGGAGGCACGGTCCTAACCGTGCAGGGTTTGGGTTTCAGCGCAAACTCGGGCGATTACCTGGTGTCTATCGGCGGGTTAAGCTGCAAAGTACTCTCTAGCTCTGCCCAGCAGTTGCGGTGCGTCACTCAGCCGGGAAGCGCGCAGCAACTTAATTGCAAGTTACAAATCGGGTTAACGTCAACCGTACTTCCTAAGGCGTTCAGCTATCTCACGAGCTTGACTCCGGCAGTCAGTTCCGTTAACCCTGCCCAAATCCCCCCTGCCACGAGCACCCTGGTTACCTTGACCGGTACCCTGTTTACCCAAACCAACGCGGTTAGCGATCTGTCAAACTTCTCGGACGTTACGTCCGTGCTCATTGGACAGGCGCCCTGTCCGCTGACCTTTGCAAACGGAACGGCTGCCACGTGTAATGCTCCGGCGCTGCCAGCTGGCACGTACCCCGTGTTCGTCAATTCCGTCGGGTTAGGGCTCTCGAGCGGGACCCCGACCCTAAGCGTTCCCCTAACCGTAACCAGCGTCCAGCCCACGAAAGGAGGGTTAGCAGGCGGGTTAGTAATGACCATCAGCGGAACCGGCTTCTCGTCGAATATTACGGACTACAGCATAGTGATTGGAGGAGCCCGGTGCTTGGTGTTAACCAGTTCGGTAACTGGGGTTAGTTGCCTAACCGGGGCGGCCGCAGCCGGCATGCGGCCAATCCAGGTATGTGCGAAACACGCCTTTGGCACCGAAGAAATTCTCCGTAGCAACTGATAAATTTACAAATAATGTGCGCGTTCAAGTTACTTCAAAGGGCCACAGAAGTCAGGCGCTTCATGACTGGCCCGGTCGACGCCGAACAGGTTTTAGCTGGTGCTCGAACCCGCTACATGAGCATCGATAAGGATAGCATAAGACCCTTCCTTTTTCAACGACCACCCCTGCTGGAGACTATTCCGTAGACCTTCCTAAATGGAACCCGCAGGTCGTCAGTATAATATTTTCTTCTGTGCAGCTTCTGGCACGAATATAATAAAACGTCCGCCCTTACTATGCATCTGGTTTTTGCTTGAAAAGATTGAAGAGGGGGGTAATGTCCAGTGTTACTTGCATAGGACAAAGCCCCTGCTTCCAAACAGTGACACCAAACGCAAGTCGCGATTGACACTTCTCGCTCCGGTCGGTGCTTTGACAGCATCTCTTCAAGCTTTCACTGTCATCAGCCTAAAACGATGTTCTATGACTTTCAGGTTTCCATGGGTGCGTACTACTTCAACAACACCGCTTTTGGCGCATTCGAGTACCGCCTGGATCTGACGCCGCAGCTGGCGGCCGTGAGCCCCACCAGAGGATCAACGGTGAGAAACTTCGACAACTCCGACATCGACGGTCGACACGGGCTGCCGATTGTCTACTGTATATAAACGATATTTGAGACTGACGAAGTACGAGATAAACACATCTCTCATCGACAATCGACAAGAGCTGCCAAGACAGATGCTTGCTACGTAAAGGAACGAAGATTGAAAGTGGACGAAGTACACGGGAAAATATTGAAGGACTGCAAACTAGACGTGTTGAGACTTCAGTAAGATCGTTTTTGGATCCAAACAGGTAAAGAGAGCCGGTAAGCTTCACTTTTTCGAAAACCACTCAGTTCTAGAGCGTTGAGCTCTGAGACGACGCAGGCACGTGCTCCGTTTTGCCAATCGTGGCCCTCCTGTCTTGCAGACGGCTTCGAGCGGACACTGGTTAAAAGTAGAAGCTTTCCGTGCAAATTGTCTCAAAAGTCCGAGTAGTTACAGGGTCTCAAAGATCTTTACTGAAGTAACTCCCTTTTGCGCGAAGAATCAACAGTTCGTTGACGTCTGCAGGCCGGCGGCACACTCGTGACCCTCTCCGGCTCCGGCTTCGGCGCCGCCCCGTCCAACGTCACAGTCACCATCGCTGACGTCACGTGCGCCGTGCAAGCGTCCGGTTTTTCGGACGCCCAATTCACGTGCCTCACCGGCGCCCATAACCTTAGCTCCGCCGGACCGTTGACCGTCTTTGTCAACGGAAAAGGTTTCGCCGCGGTTGGAGGTGCCAATTCTAGCCAGACGACCGTTACGTATCAGTACGTCGATCTCTGGAGTAGAAACAGTACTTGGGGTGGTACGGCTCCCCCGGTGGCTGGGGACTCGGTTCTACTTCCGGCGGGACAGACGGTTCTGCTAGACGTCTCTCCCCCGCTGCTGAACCTGCTGATCGTAGAGGGATCCCTCTTGTTCGACGACAGTTCCCCAGACGAAGTCCATTTAAGCGCCAGTTATATCATGGTTAGAGGCGGAAAAGTGCAAATTGGAACCGAGGCGAAACCGTTTGCGGGGAGGGCGAGGATAACCCTGCGCTGTCACCGGAACTGCCCGGAAATTCCGGTGTACGGCGCTAAGGTTCTTGGAAACCGGCACGGAACTCTAGAGATCCACGGGCAGCCGAAAAGCCCGCCGTGGACGCGGTTAGCGGTAACCGCCCTGCGAGGCACTAACCAGCTAGTCCTGCAAGAGCCCACAAACTGGCGGGTTAACGACACGATTATGGTAACCTCCTCGTCGTTTGACGCCAGGGACGCCGAAACCGCGGTGGTAACTGCCGTCGCAAACAACGGTTCCGTGCTAACCCTGGACCGGCGTTTGGCTAACCAGCACAATGGCGAGTACCGGGTTTTCGACGGGCACGTCGTGGACATGCGGGCCGAGGTAGCCGTTCTCAGCCGCAACGTGGTGTTCGAGGGAGCGAATAACCCGGAAGATGGGCCCTGGGAAATGAACATGTACGGCGCACATATCATGGTGCACAGTCCGGGGGACGATTCTGCGGTGGCGCGGCTCGCGAACGTGGAGGTTCGGAACGCGGGTGAGGGCCGACGTTTGGTTCGTTTCTTTTCGGAAGTGAAAGCCGTCTGATCTGCCAAGGCTTATCGAGAGCAGTCCAGAGCCGTATCAATGCAGCCGAAAGCAAGTCAAATGATTGTGTCCGTATCTTGCAAGTACCGCGAACCTTCATCTGAGGATGCAAATTGAGCTTCTGCTTCTTTTCTCAAAGCTTGTCGAAGACTGCATGCCACAATCAGTCTGGCCAGCCTGACGTCTTCTTCACTCCCGACCAGACCCTACATATTCAAATTAGATTCTCAACAGCCTTTGTCGTATATGTCTCGCATGTAATTATTCTGCCCAAAGAAGTCGAATTGTCAAAGCGCCAATATTGAATGAGACCTGTCAAAGTTTTCCTGAGCCTCTAGATGAAAGTTGACATCCTCCTATTGACCCCGCTGAGTGAACCTTGTTAAGCTTAACGCGATCGTTCTAAGGAAGCTCTGGGTGTAATCTTTTTCCGAACTTCTCAATCGGCCCCCTCGCAGGCCAAGCGTTCCGCCTGGGGCGCTACCCGATCCACTTCCACATGATTGGCCGCGTGACGCAATCGTACGTCCGCAACTGCTCGGTTCACGACACGTTCAACCGGGCAATCGCGATCCACGGCGTGAACAACCTGGAGGTCTCCAACAACGTGGCGTTCAACAACATGGGCCACGCCTTCTTCATCGAGGTGACGACACGTGTCCTGGAACTATCTTACTACCAAGCAACGGAAGCTTGCCATTACCTTCCTCATCACGACTGAGGTTCACTTTCGGGTCTAGAGTCGTTTGTGACTACGGATTCTGCGTGCGATGAGGGTCTAAAACACGTATTCAATGTTCAGACTGAACAATTCTTGGACACAAAAAAACGTCTTTTTGTGCAATGCCGACCAAACACGCTTGCGGCGCATCCCCGCCTCACCCCCGAGTCTGCCGAAAAGAGTTCTCCGCCGGACTGATATTAATGCCCTCATTCATTGCTGTATCAATGTCAAAAGCGTCGCCTGGAAGAACTGAGAACGGCACTCGTTCGCCTCTAAATCTTCTCTGGGCTTCTAGATCAGCTCCTGTCTATCACAGCTGCTCACCCCGTCTCAAAGCCCTGGTTCCGCTCTTATACGTTTCGTTCCGCTCCTCTCTGCAGGACAAAATCGAGCAGAACAAAGCAATCCTCGGCACGCGCTGAACGCGCAAATCGTTCTCGTTGCTCCATAAACCGCTTGTTCCGCTCTGACGCTTTTCGTTCCGCTCCGTTCCGCAGGACGGAATTGAGCAGGACAACGCGATCTTCGGCAACCTGGGCGCGTTGACGCGCAAGTCGATGTTGCTGCTCGAAAAACCCGCCTATTTCGCTCTCACGCGTTCCGTCCCGCTCTCACGCGTTCCGTTCCGTTCTGTTCCGCAGGACGGCATCGAGCAGAACAACGCGATCTTCGGCAACCTGGGCGCGTTGACGCGCAAATCGTTCTCGCTGCTCCAGACGGACACAACGCCCGCCACCTTCTGGGTCACAAACCCCAACAACTTCCTCGTCGGCAACACCGCGGCCGGCTCCGAGGGCTACGGCTACTGGTCAGAAACTTTCCACCACAGATGCATACTAAATTTGTTCCTCGGTTCTATTCTCAGTCTTTTGATTTAGAGGCTGTGAGGGCGGAGGGTGGAGTGCACTTGCTAGGCTGGGGCTGTGCTGACTTGATGCTGTATCTGGCGGGTGCTCCTTTTCATTGGATGGCAAAAAGCGGTCGGACTCCGAGTTGAGGCTATCAGCGGGCACCACTTATTCGAATCTGAAAAGATGTTCGTTTTCTCGAACGACCTCCCAAAAGATTTGGATGTCCTTGACTTTGCCGCCGCGCTCGTCCCCACCCCAGTACAGCGGACAGGCCGACCGGGCAATTTGTGCCTCTCACTTTCACAATTTCTTACCCCCCGGTAATCTTCCAGGCCATCTCACAGCAGTTCTTCTCTATCCGCCCAATTTCCCTCCCGAGTACAATCCGACCGGCCCGTCCTGCACTCCAAAAAGTGTGCCATAGCGCACGCCGCTCGGGGCGGTTTTGCGAATGACACCGCGCACATTCCCCCCTGGTGAATCCCCCTGGCCATCTCACAGCTTTTGATATCCCCCCCGGTCATCTCACCGCTTTCTTTTTACCGCCCAGGTACAACCCCGAGGACCCCTCTGGACATCTGCCCCCGAGCGCACACCAGTCGTAGCGTGTTTGCGGTCACACCGTGTAATGCTCCCTCCCCTGGTTGAAACTCTCCGGTCATTCAATCGGTTTCATATTCCCCCCAGGTACAACCCGGAGGACTACCCGACGGGGCCGTCGTACACTCCGAACGTTTGCCCCCAGCGCACTCCCTTTAGAGCCTTTTAACGCGGAATTAATTAAAAGGCCCCCCTTCGGAATTCTTGGGCTATCGAATCGCTTCCATTTTCCGCCAGGTACAACCCGGATGACCACCCGACCGGCCCGTCCTACACTCCGAACGTCTGCCCGAAGCGCACTCCCCTTGGAGCGTTTCTGCGGTAACACCGGGTTAAGTCTCCCCCCGGTTGATTTTTTTGTCATCTAACCGGTTCCGTTTGCCGCCCAGGTACAACCCGGAGAATGATCCTACCTGCCCGTCCTTCACTTCGAACATTTTGCCCCAAGCGCACTACCCTCAAAGTTATTTTGCGATGAAGGCGCGTATTATCTTTCCCCGGTTGATCCCCCTGGTCATCTAACCGGTTCCGTTTTCCGCCCAGGTACAATCCCGAGGACCACCCGACCGGCCCGTCCTACACTACCAATGTTTGCCCCAAGCGCACTCCCCTCGGAGCGTTTCGCGACAACACCGCGCACAGCAACAACAAATACGGCCTGCGGATCTTCCCTGAGTACTACCCCCTCACGCAGCCCTGCAACTACTACAGTCCCCCGGCGACGGCGGTGAGCGATCGGGGATTCTGGTCTTGCTTCCTACACGATCTTTACAAATGCCCCCCGGCCCTGTTCTATAAAGCCGCTCTAACACGAAGCTGCATAGGAACAAACAATTTAGTGTGCTCGAGCCAGAAGCTGCAGAAACTGAAAATAGAACATGCGGAAACGAACGATTTCTATGAAGGAAGCCCGCATGTAGAACAAGGAGCGAGCGCTGAAGGAGATGCTGAAGAAGGTGTAGGGGCAGTGTTCAATCCTTCTCGTCCCGCGCTCTTACTCCCCCTCGGCGTCCTCTATTCTGAAGATCTCAGTCAAGCTGGTCGACAAAGGAGGCATTCCAAAAACAGCCAAAAAAATCAAAGCCCCGTCATCCTGAAACTGACCTTCAAATGCAGGTCTTCCAAAACTTCACGTCGTATTCCAACGGCATGAAGGGCTCGATCGCGACGCAAGTGGGCGTTCTCTACTTTGAGGACTTCAAACTCGTCGACAACGGAGGCGGGCCGGAGGCTAGCATCGTGGCCGGAAAGGATCACGCGGGCGGAATTGAAATAGCGTAAGCGCATCAAACTGCTGTTTTTTGGGACGAAGACGAAAGGAGTCAACGATACCACCAGAAACGCATTGCAGACCCCTGTGCATAGCGGCCCCTTTGTGCTTCGATTAGCTTCCTTCCATACTCTCAGTTTCCAAGTTAGGCGATCTTACACCAGGATATTCTGGATGCACTCTTCGCAAATGTGCGTCTTAGTTCCTCCGTCGCCGCAAAGTTTCCTTTGCGTTCTCCATAATGCTGGACTCCCCCCACGTTCTAACTTCTCCGTAAAACAATTCTGCTCCATTGCTTCTCTGCATCTTCCAAAAGCATGTCCCCAAGAAGTTGTGGCTCCGAACGATGCTGATTGCCAGAGTTTACTTTCAGGTTATTGGAAAGTCAACAAGGTTTTTACCTTGTTCCAAGGCTGGTTATGGCCCATCAAGTCTGCTTTTTAGGAAAGATAACCAGTTCCTAACCAGTCTAAAAGCAGCCCGTAACCATCCCTGTTTACGTGCCAAAACACTCCAGTGCCTGCTTCTCATGTGCAGCCAAGTCTGGTCCGTACCGTCCAACCCCGCCCGTATCAACCGGGCACTCATCGTCGCCAAGAGCGACCCAAACGCGGCCTGGCCAAGTGGCCGGGACCTCCGCGGGGTGCTGACGCAAACCGTCAGCAGCGCTCTCCGTGTCAATAACGTCACTTTCGTCAACTTTAAGTACAATAACACGTACGCTTTGGAGCCCTGCGCCAAGTGCAAATTCCAGCAGGTAAGACCCCTCCTAGCGTAACTCAGTGAAGTCCTGGAAGATTCTTCCTTGTCCGGACCCTTCGTAAACCGAAGTTTCTAAGACTTTCTTTCAGGCAACACTAGGAAAGGCTTGCTAATTGGCAGGCCTTCCATACAACCGCTCCTTGGCGAGTCGGAGCAGCTCAAATGGGATTGCGCGAAAGACGGTGCTTGGGAAGATAGTGCGGTTGAAACTCCAAACGTACGGCTGCATCAAGGAACCAGACTCGACTGAATCTATCCATCCTTCTCGAGGTCTGAGAACGGGAGCCGCGAGTCTACTTGCAAGGCGACTGACCGACCTATTTGAATGAGCTCAAATCACAAACGGACGAAGCTAACAGAAAACCCTAAGCCCGAACACTTTTCCTGCTTCGCAACCGTGCCCTGCCACTCTAAACCCCCTTACTAACCCCACCCGTTCCAGTATGTCAATTTGACCTTCTTGTGACTATTCGAGGAATCAATGCAAATAACTAGAACGTGTGGGCATTCTTCCAGGGCGGCTGGTCGACCTACTTCTCGTCGCTCCGCTTCGTGAATTCCCCCAACCTAGTTCGTTGGCTGTACGTGCACGAGGGCGTGTTCGTGGACACGGACGGCTCCCTCACCGGCGCCGCGGACGCGTCCATGGTTGCGGACGACGGACTGCTGGACCCGTCCGAATGCGGACGGCTGCCGGGGGTCGTTGGTGGGCAGGTGAGCAATTTGAAGAGATTTAACTTTTAGGGTTTATAGGTTAGGGGTTCTAGATTTGGTTGACTCTGACTTGCGGGGACAAGTTCGGACGCGTCCACAGGTTGCGGACCCGTCCGATTGGCGGACGGCTGGGGGGTCGTCGGAGGCCAGGTGCGCGTCTTGCCTTTCTATCCCCTTGCTTTTCCCTCGAAGAAAAGAGCGTACTGTTTGTGACTGAGTACGTCCGCAGGAGTTGATGAATTGCAAATGGTGCGAGGGCTATTAGCGCCCGGGACGACGGACTGGTGGACCCGTCCGAATGCGGACGGCGTTCCGTATCGTCGGCGGGCAAGCTTTTCTAAATCATCGGTTTTGAACCATAGAGCGGAGCCGCCATAACCAGAACACTCGACAATGATGTCGAAGCTCCAAGCACAATTGCAGATGTGAACCTCTCCAGATGTCTTCCGCAGGCGGATGGGGCAAGAAGCCGAAAGGCCGGCCAGTTTCGCTGTGAAAGGAAGGGATGCGTTTCTTTTCCCCGACGTGTTGGAGCATTGCCAGTATTTCCGGACGACGAAGTGCGGGAGCGTTCCGTGCGCCTTTGCTCAGACAGTCACAGACCTGATTCCATTCAAACTCCCGCCGGGGGGGCGCACGGAGCTGCTTCCGGGGGTTAGCGGAAACGCAGTTACGAGAGCCCAGACGCCGGGCGTCTTCAGAGGCTCTCTGTCTTCCTTGAGCCTTCGGTACAATCAAACCCAGTCATGTGCAGTTATCCAGGCAACCGCTCACACGCATTCTTCCGTTTCCGCCCAGGTCTGCGCTCCCGGTCTGGTATTCCGCCGGATCGCGCTGAACCGCCATACCCCGGACCAGGGCACCAACTCGATCTTCTACGCGCCGCTCCTGGTCAGCGGAATCAACGCTACCAGCGGAACCAATGGAACCAGCGGAACCAGCCGCGTGCCTTTCTCCAAGGAGAATAACATAGGGTATCAGTTCGCGGCCATAAGCGGCCGGGACTATAGGGTATCGTGGGACCTGCCGTACCGGGTGGATCCGTCTGGATTCCAGCTGCACCCGGAAACCGCGCGCGCGGCGGACTGGGTGTTTCTGCACTCCAAGCAGGTAAGGAGAGTTCCAGTTTGAAAGCTGAAACTGCTGTCTCCTTGTGTTGTCTTTATGATTCTAACCGGACGGATCCTTCGCTCGGTTCTTTGCAGTCAATCGCGACATACGTTTTCTAAGAGAATGATGATTGATTCGTTCCAATGCTTGCCTGTGACGGAAGCAAAGATTATCTCATTCCACCTTCTCCAGGCTTCAAATGAGAGGTCAGCAACAATCATCACTGCGGATAAACATCTCTTTGTTTGTCGTCAAACGCTGAGTGCCTCGGTCCAGATTCCCCGCATTAACTCCAACCATAGTTTTCCCTTTGCGAGAGAAACCTGACCACTTTTCAAGCTTTTGAGAATTTAAGATTTCAAGTTTCAAATTCGAATAATCGAATGCTAAATTCAAAAACTCTCCGTTCGCAGATGGTTACTCCCGACCACTTTTACGTGCAAGCTCTCCCCGGAAGCGCAAACGTCCCTGCACTCGACCGCCCCCCGCTGCCCCTCAGTGCGGACCCCCACGGGTCGCATTACTTCAACAAGACCGTGCATTACATAACCAATGACACCACGCACACAATCCTGCTGGTTGGTAATACGAGCACCGACCTACAGATGAACAGGTAAGCTTCCCTTTTGGGACGTTTTGGAAAGCATTAGGAATGCCGTTTCAAAGGCAAAGCTCAGACCCCTGGATACAAAACATAAAGTCGCCTAGACGGATGTACCCCGAGGAACTTCGTTCGAGCCCGGAACTTGTTTAGCATTCATTTGCTTCGCGCATCTGCTGAAGCGTTTCCAAAGCTCGTGAGAGTTTCGGATGCGGAATTCAATGCACTTCTTTTGGTGAGCTGCGTTGCGATGATATGAGGACGCAAAAGGGCTTAGTGATTCAGCTTTCTTTCATCCACAGGTACATGTGTCCTGACGCCGGCTGTCCTCTCCCGCGCCGCCTGGCGGACTACCGGAACGGAACGCTCTTCTGGTCGGACCCGCTCACGTGGGGCAACGGCACCGCCCCGGGCACTCCCCCGGCTGACGGAGATGACGTCACCGTCCCGCTCGGGTGGTTCTTGGTGCTGGACGTCGATTCGCCCCGGCTCAAGTCGCTGACGATCGAGGGGACCATGGTGTTTGCGCCGCTGGACCTGAAGCTGACGTCAGGGTGCGTCAGCGCTTCTTGCACTCGAATAAAGGGCAGCGGCCCGCTTCTTTCCTTCGGAAAATGTCTGCTGTCCTTCTCTTCCAGCCTGTGTCCAATCTCGGACATGAATTCTTTGCCAAAATATCGATCTTTCAGGCCCGGAACGTTAAGAACGCGCTTCAATGGACACAAGCTCGATGTTTTTTTCATTTCTACCAAGCCACTCCTGCCAGCCCTGAGACTGATAAAGGTAGCCCAGTGTTGCAAAGTGCGAGTTTGCTTTCCCTTCGATGCGAGGGAGAATATCTTCCAAGAATGCCGTTGAACTTCATGTCATTAGTCAGCTTTGAATCCCCTGGCAAACACGATTAGACCCTCATTCCTTGAGATGTGCCCCTAAGCTAGCTTCAACTACCTCATGAGATTCTCTTCGAAACCAACAAGGTGAGGCATCTCGAGCTGACGACATACGTCTCGCTCTCTTTCCTTTCTCAGTCTCCTTTTCCGTTCTTTTTTTGCTCACGGATCAGTCATTTTGCTGTGACCGCACCAAACCCCTCTGCCGCAGGTCTATCTTCATTAACGGCGGCGAGCTTCTCATCGGCAACAGCACGAACCCCTACACAAACTCCGCCGTCATCACTCTCACCGGCGACCGTTTCTCCCCGGAGCTCGCCTTCACGGACGCCCTCAATTTTGGCGCCAAAAGCATCGCCGTCCTCGGAACGTTTTCCGTACACGGCGCCCCGCGCGCGCGCACTTGGACCAAGCTCGCGCGGTCGATTCAACCGGGGGACACTCAGATAGTCCTCGCTAACCCAGTAGACTGGTTAGTGGGTGACCAGATTGTCTTAACCCCGACTCGATGGGACCCGGCAGAAGCCGAAGTCTTGACGGTTAACGGCGTGGTTAACGGAGGGTTAACGGTGCTCCTGCAAACCCGCGCGCGGTACCCACACTTCGGGGACCTGGTACCGTTGGTAAACGGTACGCGTCAGCTTGACGTCAGAGGAGAGGTGGGCCTGCTGACGCACAATGTCGTCATCCAAGGGGAGGTGCCGCCCCCAGAACTAGATGCGCCGGAAAATAACCGGTTTGGTTGCCGAGTGGTCGTGAGCGCCTATGCCGGATACAACGGGACCCTGCAGGTGGGTTGCCGTTCATTCTTTCCGCTTTCCGGGTTCCGTTTTCCGCTGTCCATTTCCTCATCGTGCTTCGCTGTGTTTTTCATCGGCAATTCTTAACAGTGCTCCTCTGCTTCTCTGCTGGTCCCTGAGTGTGCAACTCTTTGGAAACCTTTCCTTTCACTCTTTTACTTGGAAGCCCTTGTGTGTCAAAAGACATGCTGATCTGCCCTCTGTCGATCTCCCGGTTCCTAAATGTGCAGATCTCTAGATAGTCTTTCCTGCAATTATTTGACTTGGGGTTTTCGTGTGTCAATTTACGTTCAAAAAACAATCAAGGGCAACTTCTGCAAGTAGCGCAAATGGCGCCCTTTGTTCCGCTGAAAAATGAAGTCGATGCAAATTCCGTTCCGTTCCAGTTGGAGAACGTGGAGTTCCGTCACTGCGGCCAGGCCGGACTCGACCGGAACGTCATCGACTTCCTTTACGCGGGTGACGTCACAGGCTCGTACGTCCGGACGTCGAGCATGCGCGACAGTTTCAACAACGCGCTCAATATCCGCGGAACCAACGGTGGGTGCTTTCCCTCATTTCTTCCATCTAGAATCTGAAAGAAGCAAGCTTTACCGTTCTGGCAAATCCCTAGCAGATTCCATTGCGCTGAAAGCAAGTGTTGTCATCTTCAATCGATTGGTATGGTCGGTACAGAGGCTTTTCGACTCTTGTTACTTGTGCCCTCACTTGCCTTTGAAATATGCTTCGATAACTGTCCGCTTTCAGAGGAAGACGCTGAATTTTGAGCCTTTCTTTGCTGCTCAGAACATTCCAGACTTACCCCTCAAAATGCCCTAAGCTGGAATATGGTCATCAACCGCCTGTAAGACCCTGGGTCACGTTTCGGCGCAGGATATGGTCCCAACTGAGCCGAATCCAGTCGATTTTTCCCGCATTGAGTTCGGGACCCCAAAACAGTCGTCTGATCCGGTTCTCGAGGTCTCGAGCTTCTTGACCCATAGAGAGCAGCCGACTACCCATAACCTCATCGGAACAGGGCGCCGCAGGAACGCTCTAAACGCTCAAAATTGCCTCCCGCAGGTTTCGAATTCCGCAGCAACGTCGTCTACTACAACTTCGACAGCAGCAGCGTCGTGCTGCTCTCCGGATCCAACAACACGATCGCCCGCAACCTCGCTCTCGGCAACACTAAGGTCATGAAATCCCCGCACGATATGCACCTTCCGGCGACGTATGAGATCTGGGCTCCCCGGAATTCCGTTACGGGCAACGTCGCCGCCGGATCGGAGCGGCTGGGCTTCCGCGTCATAGCGGATTCCTGCAACGGAACGGCGGACTTCGCCGGGAATACCGCGCACACGAGCCTGATCGGGCTGTATCTGCACCAGGGTTCGGACGGGAAAGTGGCGCGGACGTGTACGGCCGTCCGAAAGTTCCAGGCTTGGAGGGTGAGTCGGCCGAGTTGCGTAAGCTGAGATGATTTTCCCAACAAAAGTTTTTGACTGCCCTACAAAAGCTACCAGAAATCCCTCTAAAAACCCCGACTCATTGCCATGCGTGATCGCGATTCAAACGTCCCAGGCGTTAAGAGTAGTGGGGTTAGGACCATATTTGGTTCTCCTAGAATATTTGCGACGGCACATCAGAGCTTTGGTCGTCAAACTGGATTGCGACATGAGCGTCTTACGTCCTGCTTCCTTACGTGCAAGCCTTTACTGCCAGCCCAAAAACCTCGGATCGTTTATCTCCCTCACATTGTCGCTCGCGTCTAGTATTGGAACATCTACTGTATGACCAGTTTTGTGAATCCTTCAAGTAGCGCTTCTGAGGAGCCTGCATCAAGATACAGACATTCAACTGACCATATGAGAGACTACTTGAGCTGTAAGAAGATATTCGCCTCTTCCTGCGTCTTCTTGCTTATGCTGACGTCATCCTCGGCTCGCAGAACTGGGACTTCGGCATCCTGGCGCCCAACGTCGCGTCCGACGTCGAGATTGCTGACGTCACCCTCTCGGACAACCGGCACGGCGTGACCGTCAACAAGCAGTCCTCCATGCAGCAGGAGGGACACGTGTACATCAGCGATTCGCTGGTGGTCGGCGAAAGCGCGCGCACAAAGTGCGCGGACCCGCCGCACAGCAACCCGTCCGGGTCATCGTACGCCGCAAGCGATCCGAACATCGGGATCGTAGGCGTGACGTTTGCGCTGAGCTTCTCCATAGGGCCGCCCAAGCCCTGGGACATTGTGAGTGGAACGTAACGCCGGACGGAGGATTTATATGAGTGTTACATGGGTGTCTGGTGTCGGTCATGCGCCTTGCGATGGGCTTTGGAAGAAAGCTTGCGAGACAAGTCGGTAGCCTGCGTCAGGTTGTACTTTATGAAGGTCATATGCCTGAGTTCGATTCTTCGCTTTCTTTTTCAATAATTGCATTTGGAAAAGGGATGCCTTCATATCGTCCGTCCTTCGACCCTTGGAGCTGGTTACGACGTCAGAAAAACCCTATAGAAAACAAGCAGAGTCGCCCCACCTCTTGGCACATGTATCGCCGCAAGCGCTGAACAGCGATTTTGTAAGTCTGTCTCGAGATCGTCTCTCTGTCCAGTCTATCAGAAGCTACTCCAGAGAAGGCGGAATATCCTGAGGGCAAGATTTGTAAAGGTCAGGGGTTAGCTGATTTCTAGACATGTGTTTTAGCGGACGTTCAGTAAGAGAGTATGCCTGATGCACCAATATGAAGGGCCGATCCTTCTCCTCACATTACTCAGTGATTGTATTCTTTCCGCAGCAACTGATGTACACGACGGTCCGCGGCCGCGCGCTGCTTTCCAACGTGACCTTCGCCAACTTCCCCGGCGTCGACGCGTGTGGGCGCACCAGTACCGCCATCTCTAACAACCGGCAGATCCAGGCAAGAGAGCCACTCACAGGATGCCACGTGGCGTCTCTGCTCTCAATTCAAAAGCAGCTGACACAGCGTTCCGTTGCTTCAAGCTTAGATTGATTCATGACGTCCAGTTCCCCGCTTCATTACTTGCCTAAGGAAGGACATACATGTCAGGTTACTTCTGTGAAAGGTCGACGGGGTCTGCTCCTTGAGAAGAGCAGCCTAGTACGTTGCATCGAGCACCTACGGCAACTCTTTCAGACAATTTGCACCTTAAAAGTCGAAACAATTTCGTCCGAATATAAGTGTCAGACTCTTACCTGGTGCGATCCGAATGGAGGACTGAAGGTTGATGTGGACCGTTCAAAATTGCATTTGACGGCTCCGAACAGAGCGCGGTAATCAGACTAACGTCTCCACCCCTCTGCAATCCAGGACGCCTTCCCGCTGCACGACCTGCAGCGCATCGCCTTCGACAACGTGCCACGTGGCGCGCAGCTGTATTTTTACCGCCCAGACCCCGGTTGGCGCAACCCGTCCGACTGTGTCGACATGGATTGCGACGGCGCGCTACATATCATGATTAAAGATTTGGACGGGAGCTTTATGGGAGTGCCAGGTGGCAGCATCGTGGGCCATTACGACGCCCCACGGGCGCCGATCCAGCAGGGGACGGCGGTCTATAGTCCCCAGTGTGTGCTGAACACGGTATGGGCGGGTTATGAGTGCCAGCCGTTCAACCAGAGAATGGTGAGCGGTTGTAAATATAACAAGCCAAGCCGGGGCAAACGGCTGGGATCAACATCTGACTAGGAATCTCGCTATAACACCAAACAAGTGCACTTCGCTTCAAGATGATTCTGAGATTTTTCTCACGCTTATTACGTCTGGACACATCGCACAAGCCCCTTTGAAATCATTCTTGCTCCTCACCTCCTGAGACCTGCTGCTGTAGTGCGGCTCTGAGTCCTTGAGTCCACTCACCGTTGCACCCCGCTTTCAGGACGCCCGAAATTAGATACGCAACGCTTGCCCGCCCTTCCTAGGTTTGCGTAACTCTGATTCTTATGCTGTGTAGCTTGCGGCAAAAGGCACGAACATCAGTGTAAAACCACAAGGTGCGTAATGTGAAGACATTCTCGCTTTACCTGGTAGTCTAGTACCTGTTCTCGCTCCCGCCATCTTACTCACTTGCTTCCCTTGTGCAGTTCGTCATAGAGAGCCGTGACTCCGACACCGAGACCCGGCGCATTGCCCCGGTTCTTCTGGGCAACTCGGGCGTGGTTGACGTCATGACCGGGTGCGCTGACCACGGGTGGTGCTTTGGCTACACGTGTCAGAAGCGGTTGTCCACGTTCTGGACGTCCGTGGGGTCTGGCCGGACGTACGAACTCAACTTCACGGGTGAGGCGGTTTCCTTGCTTTTCAAAGTTCTTTTTGCTCCCTTAATGAGCAGTTACATAGCACTTCTCCTTTTCGTCTCTACATTGAATTCAAATGAACGTCACTTCGTGGTAGTTTCACAAAGGCTTTCGAGCCGTTGGTGTGAGAGCTTGAAGGGAAAGAGCTACACTTGTTCTGGTGTTTATAACATCCGGAAGAGCCCTCGAACACGCGGAAAAGGTTTCCGAGCTTCATCTACCAAAGAACTTTGGCTCCGAAAGGCTCTCAATCTTTTTCTCTTTCCAGAAACATTACCGCACTTTGATCGGTTCGTCAGGATTCTGCATCTGAGAAGCATCGCAGCCTCCGGTTAAAGAATGTAGGGCTCTTTTATGTTGTTCGACCGCTAAGTCAGTTCAGAGGACTTCTGTATCTATGACCCGGCACTAAACTCATCCAAGCCCCCAAACTCAACCCTCCCACTAACCAAACCCGATTCTTCCTTGTCCCCAGGCACCCCTCCCCGCAACCTCCGCCTCCACTTCCCCTACGTTCCGGCCACCGAGGAGCTCCTGGTTAAGATTAACTACTTCGAACCGAACCGACTGTACGTATACTTGGAAGGGACCGGGAGAATCAACCCGGTCACTTCACCCCCGCAACTGGGAGTAAATGCGGCGCACGGTTCGTACTACTGGGACCAGCCCAGTTCGATCATGTGGGTGCTGCTGAGGGGCGGAGGAGTCAGCCCGGAGATTCGCACCGAGCCCGTTATCATGGTGAGAACCGAGGAGGCATATTGCTTGGAATTTTTGTAGGCCTCGGCTGTACAAGTACTGCAATGCCAAAATCCAAGTTTTGGTGAGAACTTGGGACTGTTGTTATTACATCTAGTGCTGCTTTTGAGTGTTAGGGGCTTCTTTTGTTACACCCATTGTTATCTGAGTGACATGGGATCTCCCCGGGAAACCAAACACTTTTCTGAAAACCAAAACTCTGCTCGATTCCACTGACGCCTCGCGCCACAGGAGATCGCAACAGCTCTGGAAATGCGCCGATTGCATTCGCAAACAAGCACCCTGAAACGTTTTCATTCGATGAAGCTACTTGCAGCCTCCAACTTTTCAACATTCCTTGGTTTCCCAGCAATCAATCCTGTATCTTTCCACATTACTGCGTGTCTGTTTGCAGACTCCTGCCCGCTTCGCTGACCGGGTGTCTTCCACGCTGTTGGTAAAATCAAGCCACTGTTCGTCCGCAGGAATTTTTCTCAAGCGTCCTACCTTCCGTGTTGTCCAGGTGTCTTCCACGCTGGCCATGAACATTGCGGACTTCTTTGAAAATAACTTTGTGTCCAATCTGGCGTTCGTCCTGGGGATCGACACGACGCGCATCAAGGTCGTCAGCATCAAAGCGGGCTCCGTGCTCGTGGACTGGGAGGTGCGCGAGCGCGCGCCTTGATATATCCTATGAACCGTTAAATTTAATCCAGAAATGGTCGTTTTTCAACGTCCTTTTCGATAAAAAGCAACAAAAGACACAACCTTTTGCTCCACGCTTGTTCAATGGCGGTGCGCGGTGTCGCGCTAAGAGTCGCCGTCGTTTTGATAGTGGTATAAGGCAGCTTCGAAACCCGCTCTTAGCTGCTGGGCAGGACGGTTTCATCAGGTTGAGTCGTGAATATGCCTTGTATGTCCACTTCATCCATCTTGACATGTCTCCTCTACTAGGCAGAGATCGACCTACTGAAACTCTGGGCACTTCCGAGCTGAGTCGAGAAAACGTTCCGAAAGCCTTTTCTCTCCAACAGATTCACGACGACCCCGCGAACTTCAACCAAGCCCTCCCCGAGCCAAGCTTCGACCCGCTCAACTACGCCAACCCCAACGACACCTTCTACTTCACCAACGGTACCACGCCCGGCGCGCCGTCGCCAAACCCCCAAACCCCAGGCGCGCCCGCGGCCGCGGCCGGCGCGGGCATGGCCGCGATTCTGAGCGCGTTCCAGGCCGCGTCGACGAACGGGACCCTGCAGGCAGTACTGAAGGTGCCGATTAAGTCAAAGGCGACTTACAGCGCTGCAGACGGCGTGTCTGCTGACGTCAAGACGCCGGTGCTGACGCCGGACGCGCCGCCGCCGGGCGCACCGGGGCCGGGCGCACCGGGTAAGCGGTTGCTGACGTCATTCTCTTGTGGGTGCCAAGATCAATATCTTGGATCAATATCTTGTGGGGGCAATCAAAGCAGCCTCTAACACCACTAGACTTCGAATATCAGTAGCCTTAGATGACTGGGGGCTTGGTTTTCCCTTGACCTCTGATTCCGAAATGCTTACTGAAAGATGCCTGCGACCTGAGGCAGTACGCACAGCAAGGTGTGCTCCGGACAAGGAAAGAACGGAGCACTGATTCGCTTGCACTCTCCTTGACTTCCCTAGTGCACCCCCAGAGGCGACTGCTTCATTTCGGGTCTCCAGTGCTCATTCCCCCTCAAACTTCCGGCTTAAAATCACCGTATAGCTAGCGGCGGTATCTAAGAAGATCAATCTCTTTGCTTTTTCAGGTCCGCAGCCCCCTCCTCCGCCCCCTCCTCAGCCCACCAGCGCCCCGTCCCCCTTCACCTCCGTCGCCTCAGTCGTCGCCAACTCAAAACTGGCCGCCATCATCGGCGGGGTCGTCGGCGCCGCGGCCGCGTTCCTGCTCATACTCGGGGTTTACGGGTTTTACCGCATGTACACCGCGCGCCGCGTCGCGGTCGCGCCTCTGGAACCGCCAAACCCGCCGCCCGCCGACGGCGCGAGCGCGCAAGAGAAACCCGCCGAAGCGCAACCCGCCGTGAAGGGGTCCAGCGATCCGGTTCCGGCACCGAAGCCGGCAGTTCCGCCGGAATCCCCGCGGGGGAAGCTGACCCCGCGGGAAGAGCCCAAGCCTAGTTCGCCTAGGCCCGCCTCAGAGACACCCGTCATCGGCGCCGCCACGTCCAGCCACGTGTCCGCTGACGTCACCCGTCCGGCGGCCGCGGTCGTCGCTGCGGCGGCCGCCCGGCCCAAGAAGAGCAGCGACACCAAAGCTGCTGACGTCACTGCGGCGTCAGGGAGGACGTCCCCATATCTCGCCCCCCTAGTTCGGCGCGGGGGAAAGCCGGCCCCAGATCCGACGGAGCTCCTGGTCACCGTCCAGCAACAAAAACTCGATTCTCCCCGGGGGGGCGAACAGACCCCAAAATCGCCCCCCACATTGGAGCCCGAGAGCATTAGCTCGGCCCCCCTGGTGAGAGAGGTTCCAACCGGGACGCCTGCGAAACCCGGGTTAGCGCCAAAACCCACCTTCAAACAGTCGGACAAGTTCAGCGAGAAGCTGAGCGAGATGGATCGTACGATTAGCCGGAAGAAGGAGGCGGAAGCGGAGTCCGGCGCAGCGCAGCGGAAGGGCGGAAGCGCGAAGGGCGTGCAGGAGGACCAGATGTCGCAGTTGGTGCGCGGAAAGTAAGGGAACGAACCTAAAGTACTGTCCGGCTTGTCTTTCGTTTCTTAGAGGTTGGCTTTCTTCCAGGGTTTGACATTGCGCCGAAAAGTTGTAGTGCCGCAGTGCCGTTCTGATACCTAAAGTCGTGAGTGGTTTCAAAGATGATTCCTTGATCAATAATGAACCACAAATCATCATTTGTGAGTTGTAACAAGTCCGCTTTTTCTAAAGAGCAGATTTTGCCGCACGACCACTTGTTCGACCATCTCTTGTTTCTATATTCTAGAGGGTTTGTACTCGAAGGGCGTCGAAATCTGCTCTCACGCGCAATTTTGAATAAGCAAGTGACGGTTCAACGTACTTTTATTTCATCTTGAGACTTCACGAAGATCGCGTCCACCGGTCGGCGGTATTCCTGACGCCTTCTTTTCATCTCTCGGCCCCAAATATTGACTCCCAGTTCCCACGAAGTGTAGCTCACAAGGTTGAGAGAAACGTTCTTGTGATCGATCCCGCAATTCTTCTGAGCAGGTTCCCTGAGGCGAATCCGAGCTTCGTCCCAAGCCCCGACGTACCCTTCGACGATGACGCCTTGGAAGAGACCGAGAAGAACAAACGGAAGCAGAAAAAGGTGCTCACAAGAACAGGGTCCGCTTTGTCGGAACTGGTTGAAGCCAAGTGAGTTGCTCGTTTTGTTGCCGCCGGAGATTTGTTTGCCTTTGATGCTGCTCAGCGTCTCGTGCAGGCCTTCTCTGAAACTTTCAACTGATTCCAAGAGCCCGTACTTTGAGATCGCTTGCTCCTGTGGCCGCTTGCTTCACGAGGTCCTGCATGTAGTTGGCAGCTCTTCCGTCCAGCAAGCGCCGCTGCAACAAACAAGTTGCACCTCTCGAAGTCTTCCGCCTTCGGTTACCTGGAAGGTCCAATGCGTGTTCAACTTTTAGTGTGCTCTGGACGTAAAGGTGTGAAAAGTTCCATATGCTGATTGCTTCTTGTCTTTGCGGCAGATTCGCTGAGGAGCCTAGCGAAGCGATCATCACCGTGAATATGTAGACGCAATGAGCGATTCTGGAGGGACACCGTTGCAAGCAGGTTGGAGAAGCAGATACGCAGTGATGAATTCGGTACTTCTTTATTAACTTTATTTTGATGTGGCGGTCTAGACTGGCTTTTATGTAGGAGGTGCAAGGACTCGGACCGGGGATGCAGGTACTTGTTAGCTGTTGTCCCTTGCACTGCGGCAGGGACTCACATGTAAGAGTAAGGTCCTCTGCACCGGTCATGATCAAGTTTGGAAAACCCGGAGCAGCCCCCAATGCCACTACCTGGCACTTGCATGAAGTTGGCGCATCCATTCGCAGATTGCCTTGATCGAAATTGCAAAAGCCACATCGCCATGCTTAATTTGCCATGCCGGAGTAGCGGAAGGTCTAACACAGGGCACTTCCGCACTCAACCAGGACTCTCAACCAGACCCGGCCTGGTTGACGGGCCTCAACCGGGGTCTGGTTGACCGTCAACCGGGCAGGGCCTGGTTGAGTGCTCTCATCCGGGACTGGTTGAT